TGATGCTATCGTCGAACTCCATGTATTACTGGTTCACCTATATGCTCAAATTCAGTCCGTATCAGTCCAAACTTTGATTGGCCCACCTCGCTTTTAACTCCACTCATCACAGAGTTTAGCAATGAAATATGTGGCACCTCTTGTGGTGGGCGACGAAAAACGTGCTTTAAACAAAAAGATGTCGCTCTGTGGTGTTGTTGAAAGTACTATTTGAACGAAGATGGATGCGATCATGTGCAATTTTATCCGCTGGTCGGATCCACAAAATGCGTAGATATAAGTGGTCAAAGGCAGATAACTTCTAAATATCCTCTACTTTTATTAGTCATATCTCTCACAGTGCAATATGGTAAGATTGAATCGCGGTTATGTAAACGCGAAATTTCGTCCTTATGGTGAAAGGTTTCATCAACAGGAAGAACGCATTGCTGTTATTCGGTTTGTAATTTCATCTTTTGCCTAGCCATTTGGTATTAGAGTGGATCCAAGTTATTTAAAATCGAGCAATCGGCAATGAATTTAAAAGAGGCATTTTGCCAGTAACGTTATCAACCGATTCAATCGAATGATGCTACTTAAAATAGAAAAATGGTACATAAAGCGATGGTACATAATGATCACTATATTTACCACTATATACATAATTATATTCCTTAAAGATGGAATCCACCTTTAATAGAAGATCATTGGGAAAAAATAAAATTTAAATTTACAACATTTTTATCATAATTCATATGATTTTGTTTAATTCATAAGACTCGAACTTACTCGAATTTCGAATATTCGACTGAATAAAAAATGTTTCAAAAATTTTCATTTCTGTTTTAACTTTATTGTTATGAAAATTTTTATTTTCTATATAACTTTTTCTAATATTACTTCTAATATTATTTTTAATTATTTTTTTTAATATTGTTGCTTAATAAATTTTTTGCATTCGTTAAATTGTTAATTGATTTATTTGCTAATAATAACTTTGAGAATTGTAGGAAAGTTATATGGGTCATCGTCTATCAATACAGGTACAAGGTGACAATCCTGCTTTTGACGGTTTGTTTTCTTATTTTTCAAGTAAAAATTTGATTTACGAATTTCCTTGGAATTGATTCAGTGCAAAATTCATATGATCTAGGATTGGATTTATTTCTTTTGTAATTTGTGGTCCTCTTGCAAGTTTTTTCAAAAAAGTCTTGAAAAGGTCTTGGCTTAGAATATTCCACTAATAAAAAATGTTTCGAAAATTTCCATTTCTATTTTATTTTTAAACAATGATTTCTGATAAATTCATTAATGATATATGAACTTAGCAATCTTATTTTTTGCTATTATGAAGATTTTCGCGGTTCTGACCAACCAGTTTATAGGAATATAACGAAATTGAAGATTTTCACTTTCATACTGAAACTGAGGATTTTTACTTTTATTCTGGCGAATTTAGTGCAAAAATGGGTGCATTTGCCAACATGGTACAAGTCCATAAATTCCATTTGCCTAAAAATCCTTGTAAATTGCTCTGTGAGGAAGTCTCTTCAATTTATTTTTATGTTCTTTGAGGAATTTCAACAGGAATTCTCCCTTTTTGATAATTTCTCTTCAGTGATGTTTAGTTATTGCGCTAGATTAGATAATAATCAACAAATTTGTCTTTACCACTATATTTAAGCTTTAAATGATAAGATAAAGATATGTATGATTTTTTCCACAAAGAAGTATTTAGTTTTTAGCTAATCATCGGTCCTTATCTTTTAATCACGATAACATGCTTTAGTTGTTTGTCTAACCCTAAATTTTATGACCGTTTAATTTAATAGGGTCTTCAAAAATTTGGTATTCTGGCACATATCAGTCCCATTGCACTTTATCTTAAGAAATTGTCGATCATCAGACAGTGGCTTCATAATCTTTTCGAGGAGAGGTCAGATATTAGCAGTGTAAGGAAGGAGTTAATCTTTGTCGGACCACTGATCTTTTCATTTCATACAAATCACCTTTTGTCTCATAGAAATGAAATCCAGAAAAGAGGGGTCACCTCCGAACATGTCACTTCTTCACTTCTTTCCCATCCGTCAATTTATAGAGAGCCCATTTATCGAGCCATTACTTTTTTCCCGTGAATATTGCGGTTTTACATTTTTTTCAAGGTTTTTCATTAAAACTGCATGAAACTTTCTAAAATTAGAGTCCACTACTTTCTTCTAGAGATTATCTATAGAATTCGAGTGTTAATCTCAATATGGCGTGCTTTTGAGGGTCAAACTTTGCGAAATTGAACTCTCTGAATTCTCGAGTTGTTCTTTCTTTCGATGCACCAATTTGAATTTATGAAATGCCAATTCCAAGCACTTCTGTATAACTATAAAAATATACAAAACAAAGTCAAAATTGCGCTGATTTTTATGATGATTTGTTGTTAAAATTATTAATTAGTTTCACGATTGTCCTATTTTTTTTTCTTTCTGATTTAACCATTTTTTTGTGTTTTGGTTTCTTTTTTGATTTCCTCTTTAAGTTGGATTAAATTGTTCGTGAACTGAGGTATTTAAAAAATATTTTAAGTATCTTGGATCCACTCTAAAATGTAGAGCCTAACCAATAAAGGTAAAGCTGTAGGAAGAAGAACGGAGCTGGGGTATAGATTGGCTTAGGAGGTTGTTGCTCAATTCTGAATGCTGAGTGCTGAGGATCGATTCCCCGCAGGAATAAACCTGTCCAAAGATCGGGATGATGGAGACGACTTAGCCATTCTTCTGCCGAGGAACTTCCTGGCGTAGTACGACAAGCCAGCGGAGCGAGTCTAACCAGTTATAGTGAAGGCTCTTAAAAAAAATATATATAATTTTTTTTTTTCTGATAGTTTTCAGCCATTTCTGACTCTGTTAAATTCTGTATTAAATGAAACAACGATGAGATATTTTATATTCAAAAATCGCCTAAATTACTTGGAGGTTAGAAAAACAGACGAACATCTCGTATCGATTTAAGTTGTAGCAAGAAGGTTTACTATTACCACAGAACTGATCAAATTCATGATGCATGAATTTCGTCATAATTTTATATTTTATATTTTAGAGTCATTGTCAGTTTTAGTTTTCTCTATGATAACAGTCGTTATCAAATTTTTTTTTCCACGGAACTCTTAGACGATGCTAAAATTTTATGGATTCTCAATGCTTTCACAACTTAAACACAATATTATAATTTTAAAATTAAAAATATTCATTAAATTTTTCCAAACAATTTTGAATGAGTATATATCATAATATAAAATAATTATCAAGTTGATACCATTCAAATAAAATAGGAATTCAATATATGATTCGAATTACGTACTATTTGAGAGTCGCCATCGATCTAATCCGTAAGGAATAACTTTTCCAGCACTTATCTTTTCATGCATTGAGCACATATCAGTACAACTTGTATTTAACATTATTTTCAATTCATAATAATTTCATTTGAGGAATTATATAATCTTAATTTGCATTGTACGATAAATACAAATACAATAATTGATAAAAATCTTATAAAATTACAATAAAATTTTTGGAATGGAGAATTATTATCAGGTCAAATTATTTTTCATCCTTAATTTTCACTCCATCCACTTCTTCACTTTAGTTTCACTTGTTAAAATTCACTGCTTTCATTTCGGAGCCTTCTGATTTTTTGGCTTTCACTTCTGATGGATAAAACTGTTTTCGAGAATTCGATGCTGGCTGCTCACCTATACTTTTATCGCCTATTGAAATCCTTGACGAAATTGATCTGATTCTGCAAATCAGCGTAACGAACTTTATCAGAAATGGTTAAATGGTTCTTCGAAAATAAAATTTTTAAAATTGAGATCCATTAAAAATTCGGATCAGTCCAAATCTATGCAGTCATTGACAAAATAAATGATAAAATTAATATCGTAACGATATAATCGTTATCCATATCCATATCTTTTCATCATTTATATCAATAAATTTATCTCATTCTATTTATTTTTCAAATAATCGAGTTTATATTTAAAGAATTTGTATTCTTATCCTCAGAATCTAATTTCATTATTTCTAATATATGAATATCAAATATTCCGAATTCATATATAAATGAATTTTGGAATTTCGCGATATCACTTTTTCCAAAATATGTTTCCAATTTTTTTAACTATTAGAGCATATAATTTTGCAATTAAAAAATTTTTAAAAATTTCATCATTTCATTGTAAAACTTCTTCGTAACTCCTTATATTAACACTGTTAAAAATTTTTTTTAGAATTTTTAATTTTTTTTCGAAATCTTTCTTGAAAATAAAATTAAATTTTATTCATTATCACCATTTCATATCATAACGTTTCTCTTATCACTCCATCATTTTTATCAGAAACCAATAAAAAACTGCTTTTTAAAATCAATTTTTTTTAAGAAAAGTTCGCAATTAAATATCAGTATAAATCAGTATAAAATTACTATAAATCAGGAGTTTAATATTGTAATCCAAGTCAAGTAATACAAGTCAGAGTCTTGCAGTCGTAATTATGAAATATTTCCAGTATCTCCTGTAGAGGGCTCGTCTGTTCTTAATTCATCTCCTATTGGTGATGCGATAGCTATCTCAGCTATTCAACAACCAGCCACACGACAAACAACATCATCCATGTACCATAGAAGTAGCTCTGTTTTGCGATGGCGTGATCATCAAACTTACGACGATTTTCACCACAATCGATCATCTGGAAGTCGTGTGCCGTCATCTGAATGGTCCAGAAGTAATGCAGCTATATGTGATGGAAGCAGAACAAGTCCTAAAGTTTTCAAAATCCAATCGAGCGCTAATCCAAAGGTTTTTATTCAATTTTCATGTAGTTTTAATTTTTTGACATTATGCAAAATTATTAGATGATTGCCTTGAAAATTATGAAATTTATGTAAATTAGCGACCTTTGAAGTTCATTTAGATGTGTAACATTTGATTTAATGATTATGCATAATTTCAGGGAAGTGGCTTCGAAGACATGTGGAGACCGATTCGTTTGGATATAATACTTAATTCGCCGCCACCAAGCCGATCCATAATGGAAGCTCACGCATGGAATCCTGATGACCGATCATTAAATATCTTTGTGAAAGATGAGGATCGTTTGACATTTCATAGACATCCAGTTGCACAATCCACTGATTGTATCCGCGGGAAAGTTGGTCTTTCTTCAGTTTTAGAAAAAGCTTTTCGAAATTTGCTGAAAATTTTATGACCATAGAGATTGAAATATTTCAGTACTTAAAAGATGCTTTGCTGAGAATTTCTTAATTATTGCTTACAATTTAATCATTCTTATCAAGAGACGAGAATCTGCTGATGCCTTAAGCCAAGGAAGATGCAACCTGGTGATTAGTATGAATTAACAGAGGTTAACTAGAGATTAAATGAAAAAGAGTTATAATTATCATCGTAATCCATTATATAGGTGTGAAATAAATATCATCATAATTAACAAGGTATTTATGTCTTTCGGGATTTAAGAATGAACAGATGTCTCCTAATTTAAAATTATAGATTGGATATTCGAAAGGCTTCCATGTATGGCAATTAACGTGGCCTGTAAGACAACGAGGTACACATGCTGTGGTTGGAGTTGCCACAAAGGCCGCACCACTTCATAGCGCTGGATACACTTCATTAGTTGGATCAGATTCTGAGTCTTATGGATGGGATTTAAGTAAGTATGCTTAAAGTTTTTCTTTTTCTTAATTTGCAGCTTTCATTTCTTGTGAAATTCATGGCTGCATAGAATCGGCAATGAAAATTTTATATTTATTAATATGAAATGAGGGCATTATGGGCGAGTATTTATCGCTTAGATTATCATCTCGAACACTGGCTGCACCGCTATTCCTGGCAGCTGTGGTCCTCTGGCTAAAATACCTCTAACACATATTGCCAGGAGAATAAACCCAGCCATCCCAACAAGCGATCGAGAAAAAAACACCAACAATAAACAAATAAAGAATTTCTGTTTTAAATAACGAATATTGTGCGTTTTTAGCTCGCAACAAATGTTATCACGATTCGAGAAATACGGATGGTTGGACTTATCCGAATATGGATGGATTTTTGTATTATGCAGAAGGTGATTCTGCACCTGATAGCTTTTTGTGTATCCTCGATATGGATGAAGGTTATATGGCGTTTTCAAGCGATCGACAATACTATGGTGTTGCTTTTACTGGCCTTAAGGGCAAAACGCTCTATCCAATAGTATCATCTGTGTGGGGCCATTGTGAAATCACTATGGAATATCTTGGTGGACTCGACCGTACGTCTTTTTTTGGCTTTTATTTATTCTATTGTCGATATCAAGGAATTTATTATAAATCTATGAGAAGCGTGGAAATGAGCGAAATAATCACAATTCTATTATCTCATTTTATTTTATACAATGATAAAAAATAATATTTAAAAGATTAATAACAATAATTTAAATAAATTTTAGCCGCACCTCGTCCATTAATGGATATTTGTCGTCAGACGATACGGTTATATGTTGGTAAAAAAAATCTGCACCGAATCAATGAATTCAAATTACCAACTGGTTTGAAGAATTACCTTTTACATAACAAATTATAAAGTCAACGGCTCTACTGCATTTCTGTTGCTCAAATCCAAGTCGACGGGTACACACACTTTCATTATCGCCTGAACTGCTAACTTTTTACTTTTATTGTAAATATATGGAAAATTAAATAAGCATTAAAATAACCGTAAGGTTATGCAATAATGACCTTTTCTCCCTTCTGACCTTACGAATGTGTCGAATTAATTGCAAATTTTGTAGAAATATACTTTTTGCAGCGTTTCAGTTCTTCCTCGCTTAATTTGTTTGTATAATTTCCCGACTCATTAATTTATAGAATTCTGTTTGATTTAAGTTTATTATTTATTGCGAATTTAATTACCGTTAATGGATGTTTTGAAGTTGCGTAAGTCTATTTGTAAATCAAAAACTAACTATTAACTGATAAGCTTTTTATCAGAAGTATTATTTTATCAATCGGAATTATCAATCGCTAAGATGGGGATTAATCACCGAGCAAACTGGTTTTTTCATTTATCTCTGTGGCTATTTTTAAATGAAATTTTTCGAACTTTGCAGTTTCAATTTATTACACTCTATTATTATTTACGATTGCTTTTTGTCGCTCTGAAATCCGCCTAAATTAATTATTAAATAATTAAATCAACTAAATCTGAAAAAAAGCAATCTTTGTATTCTTCCAAGTCACCAGCCAGTCGTTGATTCTAATTTGAACTGTTAATTTTCACGAATTTATTTGTTTTTTGGAGAAATATTTTTTATACGAAAGAAAAAGTGATTCCGATAATCTAATGTTGAATGTCTCAGTTTTCGATGATTTAGATTTTATTTTTGTATTTCTCTTCCATAATTTCAATTCATTTTTATTTGGCGTTTGCATATTTCGATTTGTATGTCTCTGTCTCCGTTAAATGGCTCTGCTACGGTTGGCTGAAAAGCGAATCGCCGCTGACCCTTATAGATCAGCTCAATTGATATTTTCAAATGTTTTTTATTCATAAAAAATTGTGCACTGTGAATTTTTTAAATTTTGCTTAAAATATCTGTAAAACAACAGTACAAATAAAATAATAAAAATTGTCCAAAATTTTATGATTAGTTTCGAGAGATTTTTGCTTTGACTATCACTGGAGACTGTTTGGAGAAGCGATTTTAATGCGATCTTATCAGTGAATGATAAAGAAGCAAATCATATCATTACGATAAAAATAAAATAATATTAAATAAAATCAAAATAAAAATTAAATATTTTAATAATAATAATTTTAAAATAAATATATATTAAAAGGAAAAAAAACTTGTCACTCTTACTGTTTGTTTATAAATAAAATTTAACAAAATTAAGAAGGTCATTTTCATGAAGAATTCATTGACGTCAACGTTCACGTGTGACGTGAGGCCACGCAAACGAATTTCAAGTCACAGTAGGAATAGCGGAAAAACGATGGTTTTGGCAGGAAAATTAAAGCTTTATAGCTGCTAAGTTTGAAATATTTTGGTGGGAATTTCAAATATTTTCGACACTATTTTAATAATTTTTTATCGAAATCATTTTAATTTGGGTTTTATTAGTTCTTAATAGGTAAGTTCGGTTAGAATGGCTTGGTGGGGCTATTATTCCAACTTCGTTGCGTCTAAAATGGAGTTCTACTTTCGGGATGGGTGTCTTTCGAAAATACGGGGGTGCCGGTAAGTCCCTGCAGTCTCATCGCCAGGTGACTCGCTGGCAAACCCAACCAGGAGTGGTGCCAGCTTCCAGACGAAATCTCTAGTAATTAATTTAGCAAAGAGTCGCTATTCAGAAGCCAAAAATTTGGTGTTAGAATGGGAAGACTGAAAAGTTCAAACAATACGCCTTGGACGTGGAAGAAGTAGAGTTGGCTTCAAGGAATTCCAAATTTGATGTCGGAATTGCTTAGCTATTTGCTATTTAGTGGCGAAGAAGCCAGGCTTTTTTAAGTGGGGAAAGATGTAATGATTTCATTAGAATTTGTGCAACTAAATCTTTTATCAGATAAATTTTTAGGAAGAAAAAATTATGGAATGTAATAAAGAAATCGAAGTACTTCAGTCAACGATTAATTCGTTAGGTTATCTTGAAGATGGAAAATATTACGCGGAACCCGATTGCTTTGGCATGTTTCTTCAGTTTTTTATCAGTTTTATTAGTTTTTAGTCGCTTAGATAAAATATTCCAAGTGTGGTGCGCGTTTGCTTATGCGCCACTTAAGGCGCGTAATGCTGGTGCATTGGTGCTCACTCACGTGAACTTCCATCGCCAGGTGACTCCCTGTCGAGACTTCAGTCCGACAAGCCAGCGGCGTGAGTCTGACCAGAAATAGTGAGGGCTGTTCGAAAAATTAAGACTGCGTTTTTGGAGAAAAGATTTGATTTTAACACCCTTCCTTTCCAGTTTTTATTGTTTTTTTTTCAACTGTTAAATATTCATATTTCAATATTTTTTAATTAGGTTAGATTTTACTCTTTACTCTAAATAATAAAACATTAATCTAAACCAGTGTATTTACGGAATATTTCGAATAATCTACGGTAAACTCTACCGAGCAGCTGATAAGCATCTTATCTTATTTTGAATAATTGCAGAAAGTATTCGTGATATAATTCGAATTTTGCGAAATGATCGTGATTGTTGGGCCAGAAAGATTTGTGCCGAACGTAATATTGTTCAGTGTGATCTCATTCCCATAATGAAGTCTGATGGATCATCTGATAAGCTTTTTGATATCGCTTTAAGGTCTTTTTCTTTAATTTTTATTCAGAGCAACTGTAGTATTTTTGATTTCTTTTCTGATTTTAATCGTTCGTAAGACTGATATTGGCCTGTGGCTCAGTATTAAGAAAGCTTGAATTCCGATTCGATCGAGGCACCAAGCTTTGTCGGACGGCAGTATCGCCTAACAGACAAAATAAGGTAGAATGTCTGAGTGGATTATTGTCCAATTCAGAACGCAGATGCTGAGGTTTTACCCCAGGTAGACCTCTCCGAAAATCCGGGAGAGGTAGCAAATCATCTATATTTCTATCGACAAGGATCTCCCTGGTATATTTGTCTTGTCCGACAAGCCAATGAAGCCAGTTTCACCAGCAATAGTGTGAGTGCTTTTGAAAAAAATATGATGTTGCTGTTAACCTAAAAATATGAGCCAGTAGCCACAGATATCGGATTTGCTTCCAAGTGTTTGTAATTATTTTTAATAACATATTTATATCGTATTTTTATGAGTTTTTAGGTTAACAGTGAATCTATGTCAACCAATATTTGTATTATTTGCCGGCAGTTTATTTGATAATCCACATTCTTGGGTTATTTCTAAGGAGGTATGTGATATTTTTTCTGTCTTCAATTTGTTATTATTTTCATCCACTGAATTTCTTTTAACTTCTTTAATTTCTTTTTAATTTCTTTTAATTTTTAGCTTTTTTTTCTGAAATATGGAAATATTGTCTTTTATATTGCAAAATAATTTATTGCAACAGAATCTTTTAAAAATTTATCCCCGAAATTTATGTTAACCATTTTTGCTGTTCAGATTGAAGCTAATCTCATAAAATCAAAGCCAGCTTTTGTTGACGTTGCTTTCTTGAAAATCCTGGAAAAAAAGATGAAGGAGTTTTTTAAAATGGTTAGAATTGAATTTAGTTAAATTTCTTTTAAATTTCTTTATTTTATTAGCGAAATTTTCAAAAAATGAAGGCACTAGATGAGGTTTACTTAAATATGAGGTTTGTGGAATTTTAATGGTAACAAAACTTTTAGGAATGGACTGCTCGAGATGAAGAATCGCGATTGGTTGTTGAAAGGATTCTTGTTCTTTTGCGATATGTTCTAATGATTGGTGAGAACGAATTCGGCCTTCAAGTGCGTTGAACAGAATTAATTGCTTTCAAAGTTTGGTTTTTAAAATAGAGAAAGTTTGTCTAAATAATATAAAAATGATTTCAGAATACACATAATGACGCGAAGCTCCATGACCAATTATTATTAGCAATAGCAGAAAGTAAACTCGATGATCTATTTATTGATTTGGCCTCAATTTCTGAAGAAAGGGATTTCCATCTTTTATTAATGGAAATCGTTGCGTTGATGATTAAGCATCATGTAATAATAAAAAAGTTTAAGTTATCCTAAAACTCGGTTAAAAGGATCAAGTTTTTAAAATAATGTTTTTGATTGATATGTTCATTAGTAATGAATTATTCAGGAACCACGAAACATCATTAACTCTCAAAGAAATTCAAACTGTAGAGAAACAAATAAAAATCAAGACACATTAAACACAAAATCAAATGTCGAAAAACAACCAGAAAATCGTAAATATTTAAGCCCAAGCCATAGCGGTTTTGCTGGTTCATTTGTAATTAAAGGCCTGAAAGCTTTGAACAAAGAAAAAGATATCGTTGTTCACAGGTTATTTCGTTTTTTCTGTATTAATTCTTTTTGCTTCGTTTTTTTTCGTTTAGTTTTGGTAAAATTTAGTTGAATCAAGATTTTATGCATCAAGTAAATAATTTTATTGGGAAATGAATTCATATAGCTGTTACTCAATTATGAAACTGTGAAGAAAATGAAATAAATTACTTAAATTGTAGGCTAAATTTGAAACTTTGTTAATTTAAATATTAATTTATAAATATTATAAATACATTAATTTCAATATGTTAGAAAATTATTATATCAGAATTTTATTTAGAATTTTGCCAAGTGTTAATAGACTTGACCATTTAAATCATCGAAAAATTCAAAAAAGAATACCGAAAAACCGACGACCATTCGAATTGAATGAAGAGCAGTATCATTCCACTTTAAAAGTGCGAATATTTTTGAAAAATTTTTGTGAAAATTTTCTCAAGCGATCGTATAATCGATTAATGAATTCTTGTCTCGATTCTGTAAGTTTATTTTAATTATTCGCTATCTTAATTCATTTGCTTTTCTTCTAACTATAGCTTTTACAAGTTTCTTTGAGTTTCTATAACTTTTTAAGTATTTTAATGGGAACATTCAGGCTGAGCCACATATTACTTCAACTGAATTGAATTCGTCTTTTTCATTTGCGAATAAACCTTTTCTTAAAATTAAATTTTGATTGATCCATTCTTTTCCCAGCTGTATCTTTTTAAAAAAGGTCTTACCCTTGTAATATGCGGAATTACCTGAATCCGAATGAGCTGAATTAAAAGAAAAATTTCTTGAAATCTTTTGCTAAATATAATCTTATTGTTTTGCATTAGTTTTTCTACCTTAAATTACATATTTTAGGCTTTCGCTTTTCGCAGGAATTTTGGTCAAAGATATACTGATATTCATTATTATATACTGATGAGTTATATCATGGAATTCCGTCGTTTGTTAAATTTGCCGTCTAGCCTTGTGGGAGATTTAATTTTAATTTTATTAATTTTATGAAAATTTCAAAACTATTAGCACAATAGTATAGTCATATATATATTTCTAGAATTAGTAGAGAATTATTAGTAGAATTACGAGTTTTTTTTTTCTTTAGGTTAAATCAACCAATGGAAGAGAAGGGTTCCACCGCGTGCAAGTTAAAATCGATAATTATTTGGAACAAACTATCACGGATCGAAAAGAAGCCAGAGTTCATGGTTTACGCGCGTCGTTCGCTATAAAAGCATATAAAGAACTATTATGCACGTAAATTTAAACTAATTTCTTTTTCATATTGGTAGGAAAGGAGCTGAGAAAAAAAGTTATTTATATGTACATTATAGGCTATCATCAATGATGGAAGAAAAAGATGATTTTGCTAAGTTGGAGGCTGAAGAAACTTGTAAATACATATTACAAATGGAAGAACACAGGGATCTTGCATATTCAGTGATTCGGCGTTATATGGTTAGTTTAAATAAATTTTATATAAATGCAGTACGTTTTTATTCTCAACTATCCAGAGCGAACATGCCATATGCTTCTTAAGGATTAAAAAACAAAATAATAAAATATAAATTTGTTGGCAAAATAGTATTAGGAATCACAAAAGTGTTAAAAATTAAAATTTAATATAAAAATTTAATTTAACATTGTTTTAAATCTATGCTGCTTTAAACATGTTTTTCAGTAATTTTACTTTTCTTTTAAAATTAGATAGGAATGGAGAAAGTACCACATCAGTAGATAACTTGTTTCATTTATAGGATTATTTTAGGAATAAGCAAGTTATTTGGATCAGTTTTATTCCTGTTAACAATACCAATTTCATTTCATTAATTCTTAAAATTACATTAAAATTTTAGACCAAAGTTTTATTGCTCATTCATAAAATTTTTAATGCGAAATAGAACTTTTTGAGTAGGAACCATATTGTTTAATTCTTATTCTTAAAAAGCCTAAATTATATTGACTATGCTAAGGTTTGACAATCTGCTATGTTAATAGAGCGTATATTGGGGAAAAATTCATTTCTCTTTCCAGTGCCCTTTAAACCTCTCCTACAGTTTCTAATATAAAGAACCTCATATACCATAAAATTGTCATATATCATAAATTTATACACCATAAATTTTATCTTAGCCCATTGATGATATCATAAAATTATTTAAGATCTAGCTTAACCTTTCGATTCTTCTAAGTCCCATCATATTCCAAAAAACATCCTTGGAATTTATTATAGCTCCCTAATACTGCGTTACAAAACTTTTTTTACGAAAAATGTTTATACTAATATCTACTAACACCGCAAATACCATTTATCATTTTTATAATCTATTATTTCATTAATTCTTAAAATTACATTAAAATTTTAGACCAAAGTTTTATTGCTCATTCATAAAATTTTTCATGCGAAATAGAACTTCTATTATTATACTCCCCTTGTTGCCAAAACCCTTTTTTTCTTCTAACAGCTCTTACCATTATGATAAAGCTGTCTCTTCTGGCTAAAGGGTAAGATATTTCGAAGATGTTCGGTCCGCTAGTAGTGATAGAAGCCATTCATTTTTTCATCGTCTAAGTCCATAAATCACTGATTCCCTATGCTTCAAAATCTTTTCTGACTGTATCAGTCCAGATTTTGATTGGCCCTCCTCGCTTTTGACGCCAACCATCAAAGGATTCGGCATAGCGAAAAACGCATCAATTTCTGTGGTGAACAACGGAGAACGTGCTCTAACCAGCGAAAGCGACGCTCTGTGATAATATTATTAATAAATGTGGTATTTGAGCGAAGATGGATATAATGCAATTTTATCGGCTTGATGGATCCATAAGATGCATTTTGGACAGGAGAGATCAAAGGTTGATAGCTTAATATCTTCCACTCTCCACATTAGCCATGTTTCGCAGCCATATAGCATGATCAAACGAACTGCAGGTATATGGACGCGGATTAATGGTGATTTCGCGACGGTTCCATAAAGGTTTCGTCAACCGAAAAAATATATATCTAAAAATATATATATAAAAATATATATAGTTATCTTAATCCAGGTTACAGTTTCATCCTTTGCCTGGCCGTTTGGGAATAGAGTGGACCTAAGGTAATTAAACACTTCCTCAACCGCCAATGAATTGATAAGAATTTTATTAGCATACAAGACGAAAATACCTTCGTTTTACTTACATTGATTTTGAGTCCAATTCTCGATGGAGTTGTTGGCACAAAAGGACGCAACCTTGGTTTTTTTTAGATGTTATTTCATCAATTCATTGAGAGACAGGATGTGGACAGTGATCGCTTGGCTTGCAACGTCCATAAGCATTCTGATGCTTCATACTGATACGGCTAATACCTCGCCGCGCGTGCAGAGGGCTGTTCCCCTTGATAGGTTTCGAGCAATTACCCTGGCTTGAGAGCGTATTTTATTCACCAGCCTTGGGATCGCTTTAAGTCCGGATTGTATACTTATCGCATGTACCACCGGACTTAAAGTATGAGCGTCGAGAGACGCAGACGCCGTATCAGTTGTATCTGATTCTTTCACCATAGAGTCACTTGGGGATAGAGTTACACGTGGGTCCCCAGCAGCCACCCGGATTTTTGACATAATAGCAGGTTTACTCCTGCTAAAAATAAAAAAAATTTGGTAAATTAAATTAAATTTTATATATACATTTTATTTCACTTCTTTATTTTTTAAATTTTAGAAAAAAAGAAAAAGCTCGATTTGAAAAACTTTCAGAGGTTTCGAAAAAAAATTCACAATAATAGCAATTAGAAATAATCGATTGACATGGATCTGAACACACAGATCTGAACAGCAGATGACACGACCACTCATAATCCAATTATCATTAGTTTTCAATTAGTTTTAAGAGAACGTATAGGTGGACCAGCAATAAATGGACTCAGAGATGGAAAAAGGAATGGTCAGCGATGACCGAACAGCTTGGACGTCTTATCGTTGTAGCCGTTAGAGCCAGCCTAATGGTGAGAGCTGTTAGAAGAAGAAGAATAATTCATTAAGAGAATGCTACTATAAATAATATGAGTATCTAATATCAATCAAATCTTTTCAAATAAGATATAAGGATGTTGACATTAGGATCATTTAGAATTTTCATGCCGCCAGTGTGCAATGTGAGAAGAAATAGGCCAAAGTAATCACCTTGGGACTTGATGTGACCTGATGTGACTGGGCCAGCCAGATATTGAATTATTATTATGAACCACCTAACACTGGTCAATTTAATATTCGAGACGATCAATGATAACTTTTAATAAGATGCTGGAAGTAATATCAAGCGCTTTAAGTTAACAATAATTATTTGACCATGGTCAACATATTTAGAGCGATTGAAATGAGCTTTGTAGAGATTAAAGGATATAGTTAATTTTTTTCTTCAAAATCCATACTTAAAAGATATTTTTCAAAGTAGGTATATAATTTCTTAGATAGGTCTAATACACAGTTGAACATATTACTTTTTAGTGACATTGATTAAATAAATTATATAAGCTAATAAGTATGCAACATTGTGGATGATAACTCTAAAACGTCCTTATAAATTATAAATAGCATTAGAAAATCTGCATAACATTTTTATACAATATTATCAGGTCTAGTACATATGGAGGTAAAAGAATTTCTTTCTGGTTCATTGATATATGGATCTGGAATTCAATTAATTTTCTGTTTCTTTTAGCATGGAATATTTTCAAAGACATTGCTTCGAAATGTTGTTCTTGCCAACCATATTTTTTTAAAATTGGTTGAAAAATGTGTAAAATTGGGGATATTGTCAAAAGTTATTAAGCGTCAGAAAGTTCGCAAACAAAGGCGTAAAAAGAAGCGAGGCGAGATTTTATTAATTTTATTTTATTAAATTAGATTTTATTAAAATTAGGCTGCTGTATTTTTTTGTTCTACATACAAACTTATAAGTGTTAATTGTGTATCCCATTTTCATGGGCGGTGTTAAGTCAGTCGATAAGATGTAAAAGCTGGGGTTTCACGCTTGGTATTGAAGTAACAGGCATTAATAGATTAGTTCAAGCCTTCATTATAAATTTTCCGTATAATAATTTGTTTCATTTAATTTTTTTATTCTTTCATAAGTTTATTTATAATTTTTTCAGTTTTTCTGCTAATCATTACTTTTTTTTCATTAAGTGTATGCTTATTTCTATTTTTTAAAATTATTAAAACAGCATTGCTTATTCAATTTTAGCTTCTTTAATTTTTTAAATTTTATTTTAGAAAAACTGGATCTTGATGTTTTGTGGGATGATATCTCAGATGAGCTATCAGAAATCGTAAATGGTTATGCAGAAGCCACAGATGATATTAGTGCAATCGATGTTCTCCTGCAAGTGGATGATGATGTTCACCAACAGTTTGCTATGCTATTGGTACAGCGTGCTTTACGTGAACGTCGAGTGGCTGATTCAGTTGGCATCTATCGTGCTGCTCGTTTATTATGGCCAAATGACAATCTTTTTGGCTTCGATGGTATGGCTCCGGAATCTGAGTTCATCGAGTTGTATGCTATATTTTTTGCCGATTTAACAGAGGTCAATTATCATATTATTATTATTATTTTCAGTGAAAATAAATATTTGTCTTATGCTTATGCTATTAGAAATATATTAAAGAAATTATTGTTTTAGATTGAGATGGAATGGAAAAAATGTAACGAAAAGATATATGGGTCCTTTTTCGCTTCCACAAACTTGTCAGACGAAAATTTTATTGAAGGTGGTAGGACTTCAGAATCTGAAGAAGGTGAAGAAGTGTACATTAATAAGGAGGTGGATTTTGATTTTGAACAATATCTGGTCAAATTTGGTCGATCTGACGTAATCAAATGGTAATTTTATAAAAAAAGTTTTTTCTTAGGCTAATTTAAAAAAGTCCAGGCATTCATTTATTCAGGAATTTTATCCAGAAATTTTAGGTATATTTATCTTCTTTCCGATTTTGAAACCAATTCATTCGAACTAAATAAAGCAATTCTGAAATTGTTACATCGCATCGCGTTTGATTTGCGCACAATTTCTAAACTTTATCAGGTTCTTGCATTTATATTTTTTTCAATTGTTATATTGCATTAGTGTACTTAAAAAAATAATTTTTAATAATTTTTTTAAAATTGTTTTGCTTCCAGTTTATTTCTTCCTTATATCTCTTATATCTCATGAAGCCGTGCAGATTAGGACTAATATATTATTGTATCCTTTATTTGCCTTCCGTAATTTGTGCATAAAGTAGTTTTTATGGTCTTTTTTTCAAATGCTTACGTTTCTATATCACATTTTTTTAGATTTCGTTATTCTACATATTTATGCGTCTTAAAGATCATCTTAAAGGTCTTTCTAAGGCTGAAATTCGAAATAGCCAATTTTTTGAATTGTATGAATTTGGTTATCATGTGCTCAAAAAATTTTTCATCAATTTTGAAGAGCTTGGTCCGAAATTGGTCGTAGAACTTCTTTTTTGGAAAGGTGCGAAGGAATGTTATGATATTGAGTTTGGCTACGGTTCTTACGAGTTTGTTTCTTCATTTATTTATTATTTTGCGTGTTGAATTTGAATATGTTTCATCGGTTTTGGCTGTTTCAAAGCCAGAGAGACGACAGAAATATCAAAAAATAAAATATTATAAGAAATTAAAAGCTTACTCAACAAAAATAGCAAAAAGAACTTAAAAATAAATACTTTTCTGATCCGCATTTTCCCAACTTATTTCAGTTCGATACAAGGAATCAATAATGCTGCAATTCCTGAAGAACTGGAAGATGAAGTTAAAGCTTTATACGACGAATTCCTATCTCTTGGTGATATGCCTCAAGGTAATAGCAAAGAAGTTTTCATTTAATAAAATTTCCATTATTTTTCGAATTTTTGTATTCATTGTTCATAATAATTTTCCTTTAGAGGGAACAGATATTATTGATTATATCATCTCAAAATTATCCAAAGAACGATCTCGTAAACAAGTTCTTCGTGAATTAAAGTCTCTTGGACTAAATACATTCGGTTTAAAAGCCAAGAAAAAGTCTGTTTTTTTTTTATTTATATTCTTGGCCATTGTATTTTTTCTTAACCATTATTTTGAACCATTTATTATATTTAGCGTTGCTTCTCGAAAATCAGCCACTTTCAATTCTAAAATTTTTGATTTGATGCATAAGCTGGCTGAAGAATACGCATTCATGAATTCAGATGATTTTCCAGGTGTTGCCATTTTTGTGATTCTGTTTTCCAAATTTTTTTAAAATATTTCTGTGAGAAATTGTAAGTCAAGAAAAAAGATTTTGATAAGACTGAGAAAGAGAATGAGAATGTAATTCTTGGGATTTTTCAGGAGATTTGGTTGATTTTATTTGCGAAAATTTGCCGCAGAAACGTAGTCGTGCTCTTGTACTAAAAGAATTAGAAAGTAATGGTCTTCGAAATTATTCGCATACCTGTAGGTACTGTATTCATCAATCCTTTTGAAATTTTCATTTTTGCTGTGATAGCATTGATGTAGTCGATAGCACAAATTTCGAAATTATTTCATCATTAATTTTTTCATCATTTATTATTATTAATTTATTATTATATCATTTATTATTTATTAAGCGTTATACAGGTCAAAAATGCAAGATGAAATAATATCATCCTTTGATAAGCAGCATGAGCATTTAAAAGATGTGGACCGACCGGAATATTTGGTAAAATTTTTATTGTAGTTCCTTGTTTTTTACTTATATCGATTATGAAATCAAAGTTGCATTTAATTTCTTGTTACTTAATAAATTAGCTGGAATATTTTTGTTAAAAAAAATTTAAAAAATTTTTCTACTCTGTATGTTTACAAATTTTGTTAAAAGCTATATTTAACATGGTTTTAATGATACGTTTGCCGTAGATAACCGAATTTGAAGAAAACTATGCAAACGTCGATTTTGATCGGAAATTTAATAATCATGAATATCAGCAGGTATATTTATAATAATATAGAATTTGGAATGACTTTTCACTTTGCAACTTTTCACATTTTAAGATTTTTAGCGTTAAAAGCTGGGTAAATATCGTGCAGAAGTTATTTAATTTTTTCTATTATTATTGAAAAAAATTAACAGGGTGGCTTAATATTATTAGTTATATTATTACATGCCGTTAAAGCTTGGATTTTTGGATTGCCTAACTGATGAGAGCAAAAATAAATTGCTTCGCCGTACTTTTAAATAGAAATTTTATCCACAACCTCAAACTTGGGTAAATAAATTCCCTTACAATAGGAAAAGTGGAAAGGAACTGGGAATCAAAAAATAAAATATTATAAGAAATTAAAAGCTTACTCAACAAAAATAGCAAAAAGAACTTAGAAATAAATCAAATCAAATCAAATTTAGCAAAAATTAAATAAACACAATAGAACAGAATAATGAATTTAAATGCCCGCTGGAAATTTTTTGACTTCAACCACAAACTAAATCATTTAGCAGGCGCTCACAAATAAATACACCAGACAAATAAATTGAAAGTTAAGGTCAATTTGTTTTCGGAAATTAGGGGAACAGTAAAGGAACATGATTTATGAAATAAAAATCAATTAAAATAATAGAAAACTTTTTTGACGAGTCGAGGTCACAAATTTATAATAGTATATTTGGAATAAACATCACATTTCGCGATAATAATAATATTATTATTAATTATTATTATATTATTATTTCATATTATAATATTATTATTATAGGTGAAACAAAGGAAATATTCCTCAAGCTCGGAAAGCGATGCAAAATGGATACCAAAGCGAAGAATGCGCATTGTTGCTAGCGACGACGAGGACAATGATTTTATTGCCAGTTATTCAAATTCATGAAAATACTTTTTAAAAATTTTTCACTTAAAGTATAAAATTTTTAAATTTCTTGTTTTTTGTGAGTAAGGATAGGTGAATGATTGAATAAAAGTTTCAACCATAGGATTAGGTGAGATGATTTAGAACAAGATAATAGTGCCTGGTGCAATAATATTTTGGTATATGAGTCGATAGAAGTTTTTGTTAAGAAAATATTAAGCGCAGTAATTATGGTCTTCTTGACTTATGTTTACCATGTTCAATTAAATAAAAAGGATTTTCACTCATAAGAATTGATGAGTCAAGTTAAATTTTTTAATTATGCAGATTACTACTTCCATAATGCAAAAAATTTTGGGAAGGCAAAATTAATATCTAATAATTTTTTACGATTCTCTAAGTTTTGCGATTAATGCGAACTTAAAGATTTTCCTAATAAAAATGAAAATATCCATTAAAACTAATTGGCCCGAAATAATTGTTAATAGTTTTGCATTCACCATATTATACAACTACATATTGAATTAGCTAATTTTAAATGCGGTAAACGAGGTTCTCGTTCTCGAACATAGATTTTAACGTAAGTGTTTTCCTCTCGAGAATTGTGTCTTATTTTTTATTTTCGATAAAAATTGTATAGAATGAAATTATTTATTTACAATACTTAAAGTATAAATAAATTCAATTTGTTTTAAGTTTGTCGTTTTTAAGCAAATTTTTTGATTAGTTCGATACAGAAATGTATGTAAAAGATTCACATAAAAGATTTTTGCCATAAATTATTTAAATATGTTTTATTTTATTAGAAAAGTAGATATGACGTACGTTTTTCTGAATTTTTCGTCATTCTTCATTTATTATTGGATTATTATTTTACCGCTTTTGTTACGTTAATAGTCCATACCGGAATAGATTTAAAATTTTTTCGAACTTGTCTCGAATAGTTAAATAAATGTTTCATTTTCTATTTTCACGCTCAAGGAGAACTAATTCTAATCCAGAGAAAAGAGCAAAACGGAAATTCAAACTGCCAACATAAATCAAATAAATCGCAATGAGCACTGGAAAAGCCAGAGAGACGACAGAAATATTTGTTTTAATTTTGAGAATATCTCAAAATCGCTGTAACTTGGTTATGGTACCAATAGTTCGCATGTTCTTCCAGTCGTTGAATCAGATAGAAAAATATGACAAGAATACGAGGAAGTCAGAAATGATTAATAATAATGTTGATTTAATAATAATAATATAATAATAATAATAATAATAAATTATAATAATAATAAATTATAATAATAATAATAAATTATAATAATAATAATAAATTATAATAATAATTATTATAATAATAATAATAAATTATAATAATAATAATAAATAATAATAACAATAATAATAACAATATTAATAATAATGGCAATAATAATTAATAATAATGATTGATAATGATAATGATAATCAGTAACAATGATTAACAATTATATTAATTGTTGACGATGGTATCAGACCGCGCCGCTTGGAAGCGTCTTATCCTTGTAGCCAGCGGAGCCAGCCTAGCCAGTAATGGTGAGAGCTATTAGAAGAAGAAAATGAAGATTATATTAATTAATAATGATAGTTAACAGTTAATAATAATAGTAATGATTACAGCAATCAACAATTAATGGCAGTAGTAATAATAAAGAACATAATAATTAAAAATAACAATAAAAAAATAGAAAAATAGAATTTTTAGATATTATTTTAACGTACCAATCATCTAAAGGTTATTAAAGGTTATTAAATTTAAAGGTTATTAAATTTTCAAAATTTTCCAGATATCCGAATATTCAAAATCTTTTTTAAATATTGCAAGCTTTTTGCAAATTTTTTCTTCAAAAGTTGCCATATTCACTTAGAATCACCTCATTCTTTTCCAGTCATTTATCTAAAATGCTTATGTTCACTTTGATAATGAAAGAAAAAATCTGAATGTGGCTCCACAATATCTTACTGAGCCTATACTCTACTTGAGCCTATATGTACTCTTTTTTCTTCCTGCTAGGCTTCTTCCTACTAAGACAGCGTATTTAATATAATCATTTTTTTGAATTGATGTTTGGAGATAAGATACACCACGAAGCCATCAGTTTGATTTTGATTAACACCGAAATCGGCACATGTTTGAGTCTTAACGGAATTTGCTTCTGGTAATCTAGCATTCTTATTCCTTTTTCCCACTTTTTTCTCCACTGTTACTTTTTTCGAATTTTTTTGGTTTTTAAATATTTCTCAATATCTCCTTAGGAAAAGATAGTACTTATGATAATTGATAACTATTTTTTCTATGAAGAAATATTATTCCATTATTTCTTCAATAGGTATTTAAAGATATTTTCAATACTTTTTAGCAGATACTTTTTAGCAGAATTAATGCATCCAAATCCAACTCGGTCCCTTTCCTTTTCCTTTTCTTTTCCTATGTTCTTTTTTTCCTAAAGTCATAATAAAAATTCTGCAGTCTGAATCATATCATTGCCTTAAACAATTCCCAAAAAACTACGTAAGCTTTTTTGCTTCCATAAATATTTTAGCGAAAGGTAAAGAAAAAGTTGACTGCCAAATATTTGATACCGTACTTCATCATAATATCATCGTTAGGCGGAGACTGGAATCCTCCGTCAATCTTATTGGTTATGCTTAGCCGAATGTAGTTGTTGTAGCAATAGACTTTGTTTTATCATTTATAATTTTTAAAAAATTAATATTATGCAAAATTACGCAAGTTTATTCCTAGCATGAGTAAAATCACAACATTCCACTCCGAACTGAAAGCGACAACACTTTTCGTTTGAAAAAAATGAATATTTTAGGAAGTAAAGCCCACTAAACTGATTAAATTTTAGTTCCTAAATTTTTTTACTTTTTTTTCTTTTTTTTGGTTATTGTAAAAAGATTATTTGATGTAATGAGAAATTCGCAAAAGAGAAATATAATTCAAAATGATGAGGCTGTGAATCAATAAAGGAATTTAAAGAATAGTTGAATTTACAATTTACAGTTCTTAAAAAAATTTAAAATGCTATAAATTACAAAAATGGATTCATTAAGGCTATCGATTTGAGTCGTGCGCTGACAAATAAATCGTGGAATTTTCCGAAAGACTACTAAGTAAGGATTACAGAATTGAGAAAAGATATTGTTTCACGAAAAAAATAAATTCAAGTAAACTTTATAAGCTTTTTTTCCAAATATTTCCTTCTGCGGTGCAATTTTGCAGGTAGAATTTCGAAGGAGCCATAAGATGCTCTCAGGAACTTATCAATTAAAGCACCATAATATCTATAAGAAACTTTCTAAGAGACAAATTATATGAGGAAATTTTTGCAATATTTCCAATGAGTTATGGCAGTAAAAAAAAGCAAGTGATTAGCGCTAACCATTTTCGATTAGGTGAATTAGGTGAACCCCGATATTCTGTTAGAACAACCAAAAAAGAACCGTTAACGATAGAAATACAGGCCGATCATTAGCAACTAAGATGGAGGGAGAGATTCATTCTAAATTGTCACAACTAGTGAAAGAGAAAAACAACTGCGGAATAGATGTTCTGTGGTTTTGTGGTTCTATCCGAGCTTCGTCAGCACCTTCGGTAACCCTGAAAACATTCTATTGCATGTGAAAATGCACATTTATTTTCCCGATTCATTTGAGAATTTTTTGCTTAAATTAATTTATGTAAAAATTCATCTAAAATAATTAAGTTTCGCTTTATCTAAACGAAAATGTGAATCCATTTTTTGTAGAACATTGCAATATTTAATTGGTTTTAAACTTATAAAAAGTGGTTGCTTTTTTATTTTTAGAAATTTTTAGAAATTATTTTTAGAAATTTTTAGAAATTTATTTGTTTTTAGGAATTTTAGAAATAAGAAATTATTTTTAGAAAATATTTTTATTTTTAGAAATCTTTTTGCAAATTTTAGATCAATGCAAATGTAGAAAATAGTTAAAATATTCTGCGCATAGAAATCGAAAATGGTTCGTTTAATTTAGAATGGCAACTTCGTTTTGCGTGTTTTTAAGTTTCTGCCTCCCTTAAATCAATTTCAGTAGTTCCACTCGTGCCGAAGAATCCGTTCCGTTTGATTCCACGCAGATGGAACCTCCATTCCGTTCCATTTTCATCGTTCTTTTCCTCTTTTACCTCCTCCGCTGTAATTTTTATAAAATTTAGGAATCCTTAGCATTCCTCACTTCCCTGTTTCCTCCTCAACTTTACTTCTACTTCTCTCCACATTTTTATTTCTTAAAGAATATTCATAGATAAAATATTACCGTACGGCCCTATTTGTCAGCTGCGGATCGCATTTTTGATTTTTCTCCATTGCAAATTATCAATTTTGATTTAGTAGAGAAGAAGTGATTGTACTGTGTTGATGGTTGATGCGCATTGAACTGGTAATGTGAGAATTCAACAAAATTAAAAGTTCTATTGCTATAGGCATTTCAGAATAACTTTTTCCGCATTTTCTAAATTTTGGCAGTTTCGACACATTTAATTTTTAGCTGCAATATTTAAAATCGGTAAATCGTTATGATTTCCTTGGCAAATTACATGTTTTTATTGTCGATGTGGATGGATAGGCGATTATTTCCGTCGGCTTCATTATCAGTTGTTAACAGTCGTTTATCAGTCTTATTTTTATTGGGTTTTATTGCATTTGTTCCCTTCTCTCCTTTGAATTATTTATTTTTTGTTCTTTGTTTTTTATTCATTTTATTTTATTATATATTATATTATATTTTTATTATATTTAATTATATATTTGCCCTTTTTTGAATTTGTTTTATACTTTTTTATTTTGGTTTTTCCTACTTTTTTATTTCTCTTATCAGTTTTATCGTCTTATCGTGTTTGCTTTTTTTTTCGTGTTTCAGTTTTTTTAACTGTTTATTCTTAATTTGTTTTTCCATTAGCGGCTTTAAGCTTATTTCGGCGATTTATCGGACCTTAGAGATTTTTTTCTCAGCAAAATGGTTCATTTAGCGATAGGTTCACTCGTGTGGGAATTGGAACTCCAGTATTAGCTCTTCGGAATGAAAGCAATAGCCCATTCAACCATCCTATGCCAGTTTATTTTTGGCGAACCACGGAACTGAATTATTCTCGATATAATCGTTTCTTAGCAGTAATACAGCAGTACCATCGTTGCTGTTCCTTGTTTACAATGTGTTATTTATTGAAATATGAAACAAATATTTTTGAAAATTCTATACTGAAATCATTTTTTCAAATCATTTTATATTCAAGAAATTTTGCTTATAATAAAAATTGTAAAGTGTAAACATGGAAGATGGCATTGCGCTTTCGATCTTTTCTTACAATTCTTACATAAGTTTAGGTCTCACCTTATGCAATAATTTGGTCATCTTGCTTGTTCGTCAGATTGCTTGACTTGAGTGATGACTTGAATGCTTGAGTGACTGATTTTTCATGCTTATAGTGTTTAAAGTTTATATCCAAAAAATACCAAAAAATCGGATGTATCAGATGATAATTTCAACCAAAATAAGCAGATGTTGAAATTTTTTTTTACAGATGGATGTCGTTAAACGATAACGTAGAAAAATTTTTTTCAAATGAAATTTATATTTTCAGTGAAGAAATGATTGAGTAAATGAAGGAAAGGAATTTGTATGGTTAGCAATGTCATCTCCAATCGATGAACAAGAGCGACATTTTATTGGAAATCTATTAGAGGATGATGTACAGCAAACGAATAAAATTGGTTCGTTCCTTCTTTGATTTTCCAAAAAGATTTTATTTATTTCGTTGATGATTCGAATGAATGAAAATGATAATTTTTGAAATTTTTTGTTTTTCCAAGTATTTTTTATAAATTGATAATTTTTATAAATTTTTTCTTAAATTTTTTTAGAGCGATTCACTTCATTTTTTTGATTATATATGTCTTACTATATACTATATATTTCTTGCACATTTTTTATTCAGAAAAACCACAAGAAAAAACGCCGAATCTAGCAGTTGGTCACATTCTGCCGATTAATGAATCGTTTGGACCATCTTTGAATCGCTTTTGGCCTGAACCGCCACCACCTTATAGTCCATCAGCCAATAGCTCGTTTCACTGGAATTCATTTGGTCATCATTCAGTGAGCCCTTTTGCATTAACTCAAAATCCTTTTGGACATTCGCCAACAGCTACAACTGTTACTCGTACAGATTTCTATCATGCACCATTTGCTTCGGTTATTTTTTCCCTTTTAATTGTTATTTAGAAAAAGTTCTTTCTATTTAACAGAGCATAATTTGGACAATTTATTTATAATTTCGACATCTCGTGTTGTACGATATTGAATTGTTTTTTAGCCAGGACGTTGGAGTTCAGTAAACTCACCATACGATCCTTATATATCGATTGGATCTGGAATATCTTATCAAACAAATGGAGGTGGAATATCTGTAAATTTTTAATTTCTTTATAATTTTGGAAAGAATTTTGAAAGAAGAATTTTGTCATCGCTGTTTGAAAATATTTAAGTTTTCAAGGTACTAAAACCAATGATTTCTTCACCGGAAGTGATTACTGCTATGGAACATCATTATCATAATATATACCATCATCAGAACGTTGTTCAAAGCAATCTTCATTATGCTTCACGACAGCATGAAATTAATTCACCTATTGCACCGTTGGATTATGTTTCATTTGGCGAAAACAGTTCATTTATGAAAGAGTATCATAATAGTGAAAGAGCATCATCCAGCATTCTGGCTGAGAAGAATATGGATCATTATTTGTGCGTATAAAAAATAAATGTTATTTTTTACTAGATTCGGGTAAACGAAAGTAAATGTGATTGAATAAATGAAATTTAATATTAAGTTTAAGGTCAAGGGGAGCGACATTTTCATTATCTGTTCCATCAATGCAAGAAGAAAATGCTGCCATTGCCTTTGGCATAAAAGGTGCTCTACCAGCTCTACCAGTAGGAAAAAGTTACCGTGATGCGGCCTCAAGGAATGGTCGAATTTTGTCTGTCCCAACCTCTTCACCTACTCCAACTCCAGCAGTTATTCGTCATACTTTCTCTGCTTCTTCGGGTATAAATAACAAACTAAAGAGGAATTAAGTCTTGATTTTTTACGATTTATCACTTTTATGATTTAGATGGTAGTATTGCTACGCAAAGCAACAATCTCAAAAGTAATACGTCGATGCGTTCTTTAAATGTGCGTCATTCGAGCGCCGAACTGATGGTTGATTTATCAGCTGGCGTGAAAAAGGATTCTCAAGGTCAGTTTTAATATATCAGAAAACATTTTTTCGAAATTCGTTCAAAGCATTGATTTTCAATAAATATTTTATTCCAGCTAACAGAAGTAAGACAGCTGATTATGAGTTTCAAAAGATAATTCATAAGAAGAATAAAGGAATCAAAGGAAAAAATGAGCATTTCGTTGCTGATGAGAATGGTTCGATTTTTATGAAATAAAAAGTTTCTTTATAGTTTGTTTTTCATGATAAAAGATAGAAGATAAATAAATTCGGCCAAATGCTGAGGATTGGATTATTGTTCTATGTAGCAAAAGTAGCTAGAGGAGCTAAGAGTGAAATCGGTGTTATATGAAAGCGATAAATACCATAAATACATTTTTAATAAAACAAAAATTTTGATATCAATATTTTTTTTATTATATAAATATGTCAACTGTTTCGTAGGCATTACTGAAAATCAAACAGTAGACTCATCTAGTCGGTTTAATATTTTGCAATCACTTGGTGGGCAGTTTGGAACTGTTTTATCCGATAGCAAGCGATCGTCAATAAATCGTTCCAAATCTTCAAATTTTAATCAAATCGATTCCAGAAAATCTAAGGAACAAATAACAACTTCATTCCAAGGTTTTTTTGCTTTTTAAAAAATCTTAATTGGTTCATCTATATGTTCTCTGTTCTTCCTTTTCCTGACCGTACCAGCCCAGGTCTTGATTGGCCCACCCCACTTTTGACGCCACCCATCACAGAGTTTAGCAAATAACAGGCTTTAGATTATTCTTTATTTTACTAATTTATATTTTTAATTTTACAGAAAAATTGGAGCGGCAGCTGAAAACTCACGATGAAGAAAATAAAAATTGTTTTGGTCCAAAAAAATCGGAGATTGAAAAAGTGGCTCATCGTACATGTTAGCGGTTCAATTCATATATTTTTTAAGCTCGCTTTCGTTTCTTTTCTTGTTTTAAAATTGATAATTGGATAGCTCTTTTTGTGTTTAATTGAATGTTTCGACTTATTAAAAATGGTGCTTAAAATTATATATATATATATAATTCAGTTCAATCTATTTAGCAGTGAAGAAGAATGTCAATGCAAAACGAGATCAGGCTAATTCAAATATAAGTGAAATGGCTCGTTTTCGTAAGCGTGGCACAACGAAAAAACATGTCAATTCAATTTTCATATACTTAAGTTAGTTTTTGGTATTATTTTTAAATTTTAATTCAATATTCAATTATTTAATTCAATAAATTATTTATCTAATCAAAGTGTTTTAGTTTTCCTTTATGCTTTTTAAAAAATAAATGAATTAAACCGCTGTCCATTGCAAATTTTCACTATGTTATTCCAAGTTTTTTATGCTGCCATTGCAAAGGGGTAGGATGGCTCATTGGGTTGTTGCTCAATTCGGGGCGCCGATACTAAGGTTTTATTCCCCACGGGAGTAAACCTGTCACAAAATCCAGGTGATGCTGGCGACTCACCTGCACTTCTATCGCCAAGAGACTTCCTGGCATATTTGTCCAATGCGACAATGCCAGCGGAGCGAGTTTAACCAGTAATAGTGAGTTTAAATTGGCAAGGTTATAAATAGGTATGTAAATGATTGCTATCCATAAAAATATTAATTTGTAATTTATTATTTATTTATTTGTAATTTAATAATTTATTCAGGTACATTATCATCTGCTTTGTTGTACCATTTGGGACGCATTGCTCAATGGATTTTGGCTTTAGTTATTGACATAATTTTACTATTGAATGAAATTTTTGCTTATTTGTGCGTTCTTAAATTTTTTTCTTAAATTTTTATCAAATTTTTTTAAGAAAAGCTTGTTTACAATCAAAAGTGAAAAATCCTTTTACTTGATTATGCTGCTTTATTAAAGGATCATCTGAAAATGTGCAGTTTGCTGAAGGAAAATTATTTTCAGGATTATGGCTATTTATGCTAATATTATGGTTAGAGTGCGGTGTTTTTGGTTAAAACTGAACGCTTATTTTAGGTAATTGCTTTATCTTTCTGGCTTATCTTTTATTTTATTTCATATTATTTATAATTCTCTTAATATTGAAAAAGATGATTTTTATGAAATGATTTTTTTCCAAAAATTCATTTAAATTATCAATTCTTCCAGGAAATTTTGGGAAAATCTTTCCTCCTTTAATTCCACAAAATTTTGGATTACATCTCGACAAGAACTGAACGAATGGGGATTAAGTGAAAATATTCACTTACCGCTTTCTGGCAACTTTTTCGTTATTTTATTTCTTTGAAATTTTCAACATAATTTTTGAAGATTTTGATTGGAATTTGACTTTAGGAGAAGAAATATTGAATCGGCTTTCACAATGTAGAGGTCAAGATGCCTATATTGTTCTAGGATTAAGCTCACATTGTTCAGATGAGGATATAAAACGATATTTCAAGAGACAAGTTGTTTTGTTGCATTCTAATGAGGTTCTCTTTTAAACCAGTGTTTCATTGTTTTAATTTTGAATAAATTTAACAAATTTCGGTTTTTTTGAACCTTAATACTACTTAAATTAGTTATTAATATTTGAACTTTATTATATAATAATATTATATTATTATTAACATTATTATATATTATTATTAATAACGATAATATTGTATTAATAATAATAATATATCATTATTATTTAAAAACTCTCGCTATAATTTTAACATTTTACAATATTTTTTATTTTCAACAGAATTTTTGGCCAAATGTTCAATATATTTAAATAAATAAAAGTGAAAATATTTAAATAAATAAATGAATGTTCCAGAAAAACTTGGTTGGTGCTGATGAAGCTCTCCGACTACTTTCACTTGCTTACGAAGTTATCGGTATGCCTGAAGCTCGAGTTAAATATGATATGGAAAGAAATTGGGTACTCTTGTTTACTTTTGTTTTTTTGGATTAAATTGCATACCAGTTGAAGGCCTTTTCATTGTAATTTTTGTAAATGCTCTTATATATCGTAGTTATTTATTTTTTGTAGAGTAGGGAATTGGAAGAACAATGGAGAATACTGTATGAGAAAATAAATAGGATGCGTAACACGATGTCTTGCAAATGTGGATTTCGACATTCTCGCTTACCAGTTGAAGGCTTACCAGTCAATGAAGCCAGATATTGCAAACGGTGTAGGGCTCGACACCCTGCTAAACACGTGAATTTCCTCTTCTATTACCTTTGATTTTTGTATCTTTAACATTTCTTGTATTAAAATCTATTTTCAGAACGATATTTGGGCCGAATCTCGACTTTTTGGCCTTAAATGGGTATATTATCTGTGTTTAGATGGTGTTATTTATGACATAACTCAATGGGCTTCTTGTCAAGTTCGCTTTTGCATTCATTTTTATTTGTATTTTTATATTATATTTATGCTTATCCTTATATTTTTAAACTTGCTTTTTGATATGAAGTAATAAAAAAAGTGATTGGCACTTATTTTCTGGATAAGTTCGTTTGAAGTTTTTGTTAGAGATTCATTTTGCGGTAGAAGTACCTAACCATCTAGAGTTTAACGACAGGCTTATTGTTATTAGAGAAAGTATTACAGGAAAAATAAAGGTTTTATAGTCATTCCTCATGTATAATTTATTTGAGGATAATTTTATTTCAATCTTGCTTATTCATTTATTTTCCTGTTTAACCTGCTGTTAGATGAGAACTTGCTCAGTTTTAGGACAATAATCTGCAACACATGAAGGCGAATAGTCATATAGTCCATTATCGACTTGAAAACAAGGATATCACAAAGAATGCAACTAAATCATTCAAAAATGGAAACGAGTAAGTCTTCGTGTACTATTAATGTTGTGTCCTGCGAAGGGTGGTTTCAAATTCAAGTACTGATTTTTTATTTATAATATAACGCAGTGGGCTTGTCAAGTTTGTTTTTAAAACAAACTATGTGAACTTTCCTAATCGTGATAATTTTTTTAGCGAGAATAATTTTTTTCAGAAAGAATGATAATTCTGACAGTAAGCGCAACCGCTCTGGTGCATTTTTTGATTCTCGTGATCATTTTGGAAAATTAGGGTATTCTAATGTTGGTATCACCTCGGAACAAGTATCATATCGTCCTCCAGAAAGACGGTCAGTTGATTCTGATCGTCCGCGGCGTGCAGGGAGGAAGAAAAAGCTAAGGTCTGTATCGATATCGGTATTTTTTCTAAAATCTTTTGTTTTGCTCATTTGCTTTTAAAATTTGATTTTTAGAAACTCCCCAGTTTTTTAATTAACCATTTAAATTTATTAAATTCAGTAAAAAAATCCCAACGTAACATACACCGGATCGGATCGTGCCGGATATCACTGCGAAATGGTATATTTAGGATTTACACGAATCTCTTTGTGAATGTTAAGAAATTGACATTCTAATCTGTTATCAAAATTCTTTTTTTAACGTGTTTTAATGGCTTTAATATTAAATTCTGCGATAAATTTACGAGAATTTTTTGTTCGCCTTCTTTCGTTTTTTTGACCAGTCGATGTCTTTTTAGTTAATTTATTCTTGTACTTCAGCACGGATTGTGACGATAACTTTTAATGATAACTTATTTGATTCAAAAAAGTGGTTATATCAGGTGGGCAAATGTGACTTATGTGGTAAATATAAATTACTTTTCAGTTTTATTGACTTGTCTTAGAGTTATGCAAATGCGATTAAAATTAGCATAATCTATAATGTCTCGTGGAATATCTGACCTTGTCTCAAAGGTTCGCGTTTTCAAAATCAAGGGTACTCCATGGTATACGAGTCTTTGACTACCATGCATAATAAGAACATCACCAGAGTGCAAAAACAATGCATCAACAGGGTCATCAAGATTTTCACCGCCGCATAAGTAAACAGCTGACTGAGCAAAACTTAAAGAAATCAAAGGCTTTTCCAATGACCGTTCGGATCTGAAAAAACGAAAACGTAAAAAACAAATAAATCAATCCAATTAAAATAAGAAATTATAAGAGATCCAGAATAACGAGCAAAACTAGAAAAAATTATACCTATCAATATGCCCTGATAAAGTCGATTTCGGTGGGTAATAATTGATGATAACAGCATCAGCTTTCATTTCCTTCAGACCAAGCGAACAAGAAATCAAATTGGCAAGTGTACTCAATTCCTCTGGTATGGGGTCTCCTATCGAATGGTTTTTGATATCGAATGAATTATAAAGATTTTAAATACTTCTTAGGTCTCAATTAATCATTGATAAATCACGAAACAGTTACAGCTTTTTAACCCAGAAATATTAACACTTGTTTGTTGATGATTATGTCGACCCATATGAATGACAAAATTTTTTATATCAGTTTGCTCCGAGCAATGCAAATTCAATTAAAATTGGCATAATCTGTTTTGTATATCTTAAATGGCAAAATTCAATCGCCTTCTTTTCTTCAACCTCAAGTGATTACATAGCAAGAAGCGCCTAAATAACTAACGCAAACAGCCACTGCAACCAAACAGACTAAAATTGATATATATATTTTTTGTACAGATTTACTCCCGCAGGGAATCGAACCTCAGCATCGGCGCTCCCAATTGAGCAACAACCCACTAGTATTAAAAATTTCGATAGATTTCGACACAAATACTAAAATCTGAATTCTGAAACAAATTTGATCGAACACATTTGTACTAACCTTCGTAAGGATAAGTTTTGTTCGACCAGTCGTAATGCAGACCCATCGTAACCCATCGTAACTTTTTTGCATATCGTGGAAATATCTAAGGAATTTCTCATTAATCTCTTATCAAAATCTAATTAAGAATGTAAATTTCTCATTGATTTCAACGTTGGAACTAAAAGCATACTTCAAGCGTATCAGAAGTATTAAGACTGATATTCGTCTTACTGGGCAGTTCAGGATAAATTTTAAGTGCTCGATGAATCCATTCTAAATGCCTTGAGGAATCGAAAACATCAGTTAGCACGTACAAGCCATCCCTGTTTTTTATGGTAGTTAACTTCCACTGATTGAGAGGTCTTAATCCAAGTCTTGACAACTCTAATGTTGAAGGGCAATGCACAGGTGAAAATGGTACACAACTAACGCCTCTCAATGGCAAAGACTGGTGAAGTTCCAGTACACTTGATAAATCAGATTTAGCAGATAGCTTTTTGTAGAACTTGAAAGTTTTTTTAAATAATGAGTCGGGTTGCCTATTTGAACAGCCTACATGACCACCGATCATTTCATTTTTGTTATTCTTTTCGTGCATTACGCAGTCGCTCTTCATGAATCGCTTTATACTTATACAATAATTCTGCTTTAGCGTGTTCCAATTCTTCTTCATAAGACTGAAAATTAACATTTATTTAGATTTATTAAAATTTAACCTAGGTTTCGGTCACCTATAAGAGAATCTTGATTCTCAGATAATTTAATAAATTAAATCAAGAATGGTTGTAGCTTGCAAAAGACTATCTGGTGAAACAATCTTGTCTAGACGGCCAGCCGAACCAAGGATAATGCTTGTAGCAATAGAAATTTAAACTAAAAAATACTGAAATATTTGTAACTGAAAATGAAGTTATTTTAAATTCTAACCTTTAAAGGCTGATAATAACTGGCAACACCGTAAGCACCACAAATGATTCCAAGAAAAAAAAATGCAAATCTTTTAGCGGCTGTTTTTAAGGGAATATTGTATGGCCACCACAAAGGCGATACCATGCCAAATAAAATACCGCTTTTAAAACGAAAATTAATTCATTCACCAAATTCCTATAAAAATTCCTTGAATCACCGACAGAAAACAAGAAATTAAAACTAGATTATACGTCGAAATAATCGTGCAAAATAAGCAATTGTTTTAGTTCGTCGAAAAGCGGAAAAAAATAATAAGTTTATTTAAAACATAAATGTAAATATCTATAAATAAAAAATTAAGTCAAAATAAAAAAATCGGTAAAAATAAAAATATCTGCAGCATTTGCATATTGCACATTTCTGAATTGGCTAATCTGTTATCTAGCGGCTATAAGGCGTTTACAAACCTTTCGAATGTGACAACGAAAATGAGATCCAAAGAAATAGGGAATTCCGAAATAATATCCTTAATATCTAAAATATCATTCAAAAATATACAGTGAAAATGGTTAAAACAACGACATTTTCATATAAAAAAGAACCATTGAGGCCTTTACCAATATTCCTCATACCCAAAAATCAGCAGCGGGAACGAAAAATACTCTGAAATCCGTGTAACACAACAAACGAATAGCAAAAGGAATAGCAAAAAACCAAAATCTTTTACAACAAAAAAAAATTCGGAATAGGCTCTTTAGAAAAGAATGAAATATTCGGAAACAATACTCCAGTTTCACTTAATTATTCAATTCAGTCGATTTCTTAAAAATTAAGATTTTAAAATTTAATTCGGTGAATATTTTTAAAATTCATTATTCTACATTATTTTCCGTAGAAAGGAAACACAAATTATCTAAAATCGAAAGGAACTAGGAAAACAAAAAACCTAAATTTTTGAAAAAAGTGATGCAACTATTAAACTCAAAATTGAAAGTTTAATTATAAGAGTCTAATTAGAACCTAATTTTATCTTTTAGGTTAGCTTTTCTCAATGTGTAACTTTACTGATCTTGGAAAACTAAAAAATTTACGGAAAATCTTTTAACGAGTCATATATATATATATATACCAGGGTAATTGAGAAAAAAATGGAATATACTAACCAGACAATTAAAATTAATTTAAAAATTTTAAAAATTTAAAACATTTAAAAATATGCTTTAGCCAATTTCAAATGTGGTTAATTATTTTCATAGATACATGGTATACATCTAGGACCGTGAGATATCTTCACCACTCTTATCTACTTGCGGCAAGGTGAATGCAATATGAGGCCATGCCATTGAGCTATTGGTATCCACGACCACTTCTTTGTCCAATGTCTCATCAGTGTTCTAAAAGGTGCATTTTAAAAAAAATAACAACGTTGCTAACATAAAAAATTACCAAGAAAAATTGGTTCAATTTAATGAATTTAAATAATAGAATGCATAACGATATATAATAGGAACCATGGGCCGTTGGTCCGCGGAAAGGAATTTAGCGCGAACTCTTTTAAGAGTTAACAGACCTTTCGCCAAGCGCCGCCAATTCTTTAACGCTCTTTCCTTTTTTTTCTGAAATATTATCTTAGCAATTTTATTTCAATCCTCATTTTAAACTGGAAAATAAGGATTGCCATATTTGATTCAATGATTGAATTGGCATTTATCATTTCACTTTGCCATTTAATTTTTAAATGAATACAATGGTAAATTAAAATAAATTTTAAAAAATAAAAGTTCACAAAAACCTTTAGGGATGCAACACGTTTACGTTCGTATTCAGCAGACCAAGCCTCACGTAAAGCCTTTTCATGTTTTGCCAAAACAACGCATCCGTCAATTCTGAAAACGTTTACACAACCCACATGGAAACCAATATATTAACAAGCAACAGGCAACAAATTTTTGATACAAAAAGGAAATTTTAATAAAAGAAATTTCTAAAAATTACATTGGATGATTTCCACCTTTATGGAATTCCCATCCGACAACCGCCGGAACACAATCTACATCCAATTTACGAGCGATTGAAACTAAACCTTCAAGACGAATATGAACGCAGTTTTTTGGTAGCATACATTCCTTGTATAGATAAATATTTCCAAATTCATTGCGAGGTATTTTACCCTTAAAATTTACAGAAATGATATGGGAACTTTAATTTACAAATATTGCAAACAATAAAAAAAATTCAGACCAGAAAAATATAAACATACATCATCTGTGACATCTGGAGGCTTATAAGGCTCAGTCTGCCAATAGCCAAATACATCAAGCGTTCGTGGTTGTCTCAGCTCTTCAGGAACTTTAATGTTTGGTCGCGCTTTCACCACTTTATAAGGTTTTTCTCCAGGCTTAATTTTAATATGCAAAATATACTTAAAAAATCCATCAATATGCTAAAAATGAATAAGAAAAAATTTTCTATTTTAAATGGTTCAATAAAAATGTTATACAAAACTTTTAAAGAATTGACATTGACAATCAAAAAAACCTTGATTGACCGCGCATGTTTAATCCAATTTAATGAACCTTGTAGATGATGAACGGAACTTCGAGGAAATATTTCTAAACCTCTAATATATCCAACAGGCTTTTGATCTTCAGGATAAATTGCTTCAAACTTTAAAAGATCTTTCTTTAGTACATATCTGTAACTCCGATGAACAATATAAACATATATAAAGGATATAAATAAAGAATTCGTTCACATTAATAAGCACCTTAAATATTATCGCAATATTGCGACCAACGATTTACTTTACTTTAAATATTTTAACTTCAAAATGCGAATAAATACTGAAAATAAAAATGTTACAAGGCAATAAGATAATTGAGTACAAACAGTGGGCTATAATGCAATAAATAGTCTTGAAAATGATTATAAACTGGAGAAAGACTAGATTATATTTATAAATTATTATAGCTTATACCAGATTTCATGTTTGTCTCCACGCTTCAAGGCTCAAAGCATATGCAGTGTGGTATGGTAAGATATTATACCCATAAACCATCTTATCTCCCTTCTAATGAGCCCTGAAGTCTTCTAATACAGTTATATGTAATCAGTTATATACAGTTATATATAGTTATATATTATGAACATTATTTTATGCAATGATTACCACTCATTCTAATTTAAAATGTGATTTATAATTTTAATTAACACGTGCATTCTGCTTGAATAAAGCTGAATGAAAAACCATACCCAATACACTATATGTGCAATATTTTTTTGAAATAATTACGGTATGGTATCACTTAAATTGCAATCATTACTACTTAAATCACCATTATTAGGAGAAATAAATCTCCAAATCTCCAAATAAATCTCAAAAAGGAAAATACTCACAATGGATGATTTTTGAATTCGGCGATGGTTGTTGGTAGAGGTTTTGAGCACAAATAATCGTGAACAGCAATAGTTTCAAAGCGATTACGAACACGATTTTTGCTTTTAAAAAGCTATAATCGAAATAATTATAATGAAGAGGAGGAAGATAAAATAAATGTAAAAGAAAAAAACCCTATAAACAGTGGAAATCAATATACGACACCTGAAAAAAAAAATCAAAACCAAAAAAATTTCGCTATTATTTTTCGAGCAGAATGAGATGTTGGCGTTATTTAAGAATACACTGAAACAATTAGAAGCGATAAGACAGTGACAATGTAATATTCTATGCGAAGAAGTAAAGCGAAAATTTTCATACGAATTTACTTTTTTATGGATGCCATGTGTCTTTGTTTTTGCAAGGTATTTTTTTACTGGATGAAAATTTAAGTCACAATATTATATGTAGACACGATATATGAGTTTGTTTAGATAATAGCTGAAACTGCGAACAATCTTATCAATTATCTATATACACTTTTTAATCGATTTTATTTGCAGTTACTTTTCCACTACAAATTTTTAGATAAAACCATTTCCATATTTCAGCTTTCAATTTTTATTTAAAAACAATTCAACAGTGAATAAGAATGTTAACTAACTTTCATTGTTTTTTCCCACCATTCTGAATCGATTCGAATACGACGCATTTCTGGTGATAAATATTTAGAAGCATAACGATCAGTAATATCACGCATTCCATAGTCTGCAAATCCCATATCATAACGAAGAATGAAGATTCATTTAAATATCTTGATAAAACAAAAAGAAAATCAATGCATTATCTATTCAAATAAATTTATCCAATTTATTTAAGCACAAAAGTCCACTTTCATCAACTGCGATGACATAATGCATTGGAGGGGTGGTGTCTGCTTCCATTGATTCAGGCATATCGATTGTACCCTTCCAAGTGTCCACACCTGCGTTAAGTTAAATAATGCAATAAATATTATAGAGATGCAAAGAGAATCATAATGGGAATTTTGAAGGTTAAAAGAAAAAGGTTAAAAGAAAGAAAAGAACCAACATATCCAGCGATTATTTTGTTCATCCCAATATTCGATCCAATAATTTCGATAGGCTCTAATCTCATTCTTTGTTTTTGTAAAATTACGTGCGCCGCGAGCAATCTTTCTCCCATTATTCTGATCTTCCGCAGCACCTTCGCTTAAATCAATCGATATGTTGTCATCAGAACACTTGGAATCATATGTGGCTTTGCGTTTCTTTGTCAAATGCACACTTTTCTTATTGCATTCTGTGGCTGCTGGTATTTTAATTTGAGAACCACTTGCTTTCGGAAGAGAATCAGAATTTTTCGACGCACTGGATTGGAGAAAGGAACGAATGCTCTATAATTTCGATAATAAAAATAAATTAAATAAATTGAACAAATCCTTGCTCAATTAAAACGTAAGATCCAAATAATGCTTAAAAAAGAAAAAGATCTTACCAATTTATGAGGCATTGGCTGACATGATAAGCAAAGTCGTACCGATATTTTCAAAGAGAATAAACAAAGAAACAAAACCTAAACATAGCTTTTTTACAAAACAAAAGAAAAAAAGTATATTTGTAAAATCTTCATTAAAAAAATTTGGTTAATAAGTCCAAATATTGTAAAACAATAAAAAAAAAAGAAAGAAAGCAAGGCCTGAAAGGAACGCTTACCATTCTCTATAAATTTTTATACTTTATAAAAGGGAACCTCTTTAAATAGCTCGTTTTTTGCCTTTTTAATTCATTTTGATTCATTATTAGTGTTAAATTAAACCCTAACTAAATTAATGATCCCTTACAAATTTAATTTCCTCAGGTTTCTTGACTCTATTCATTTTATTCCTTTAAGTTTCCATCAAGCTTTGGTGTGCATATTAAATATTAAATATCTTTGAGACTAATTAAAAACTAATTAAAGTGCATATTAAATATCTTTGAGACTAATTACAGTCAAAAAAGTATCTTGACGGAGGTCGATACATGAATTTTGTAAAATTGTAAGGACAAAGAAGGACGATAGAAACGATGTTAAAGGAAAAATAGAATTGACAGAAATGAAAACTTGATAGTTTAATAGATTAAAGAAAAAGTGCTAATAAAAAAAAATAAATAAAAAAATAAAAAAAATTGAGGGAAATAAAAAAAATAGCAAGACTATACTGGCAAAAATTTTTTTTCAAGAGCCCTCATAATTACCGGTTAGACTCGCTTCACTGACTTGTCACTGGACAAATATGCTAAGGAGTCTTCTGGCTATACTCGCCATCATCACCCGGATTTTTGAGATTTATTCCTGCTGAGAGTAGAACCTCCGAAATGAGCAACAACCAGATGAGCCATTCACTCCCTACTTAGAAGAATAGATACTTAATATATTTTTAAATGTTTTTAATTTTTAATGCAAAAAAACACCGAAGCAATATCCCTGTCGAATTCGTAAACCCGATTACTTATTAATTGTTCCAACCGTTCCATCTGAAAAACAGAATAAAAACATTGAAAAAATTAATCTAAAAAACAAGTATATAATCTAAAAAGCATTAAAAAAATACTAACGAATTTTTTTAAAAAAATATTGAAGGCATATTGAAAAAATATCAATGAATTTTTTTAAAAAAATATTGAAGGCAATAACGAATTGACCATAGTCTCTTATAAAAAAAATTAAAGACAATTTACCAATTCACCAAATATAAAGAAAATATTTTGAAAAAATTTTGGGTACCTGCGCTTCACAGGAACTATTTCTCGGGATATATTTTTTCGTTGAAGGCGAAAAGGCCGATCTGAACCATTTAAAAAATTTTTCAGCAATATCCTCACTGAAATTAGTCTGTGCTGCAATGACATATCCTTCGGGTATCAGCGATAAACACAACGGAGTTAAAATTTCATTTCTTATTAATGATTGAATCCAAAAACGAAGATGCGCGATATAACATAGAAGATGCATCTAAATGCAAAGAGAATTAGATTCCATTTTAAATATAAAAAGAATAAATTAAAAAATAATGAAATGTAAAACCTTACTTTATGACAATTTATTTGACGTTCTTTGATTTTTCTATTTACTTCAAGTCGCAAAAACTTGGCCCATTTACTTTCTTCCGATTCTTCCTTTTTCGGTTCATTAATGATAAATTCGAGATCAGCTTGAGCAGATGTTTCTGTATTTTCAGGAATATCCATTTCTTCCATTGCTTCCCATTCATCTTCTGATCCACTAGAGGAAATATACTCTTGTTTAATGAACTGTTCATTAGCGACAACGCTTTTTTTATCTTCATTTTGTGAAATGCTTGCTTGCTTTCGTGCTAAAAATAATAAAAGGAATGAAATATTGACAAAGATTCGAAAAGCAGTCGCTCAATAAAAGAGATTCATTAAGGATTATTTTATATTAAGGATTAAACATTAAAATGTACAAATCTTTAAAATATATAATCAAATAATAGAGATAATTAGCCTAAACTGAGGCTGATTATTTCGAATGAAGCATTTTCAATTTAATTCTCGTGCCTGATAGGAAGACGCCTCTCGATGAACGGGTGGATGCAAGTTACCTACAACTTTTTTCCTAAACAATTAAATTAACCAGCTGTTAAAAAAAAACGGTTTACAGGCATTTACCTCTGATAATTGCATTTCTTTTACATTTTACTTGTTTTAAACAAGCTGTTGAGTTTCTTTCGACTTTTAATACCAATTTTGGTCTTCGCAACTTATTAACACCATCACGACAAATATTTTTTTTATTTTCATTAGTGACATTGCACTGACTTTCATCTTCATTGGCTACATCACATTGATTTTCATTTTCATAGATGCATTTCTTATTTAATAATCTTCTTGACTTTTTTTGCACTGCACTAGTCGTTTCCAATTTACTTTTGCGTTTTCTGCACGAATCAGCATGATCTAAAAAAATAATGATATAAGTGTTCTCGTAAATGAAGACTTCACAAATTATAAATTTATTAACTTGTAATATTAAGCATTATTAAACACTAGTACCACTGGTACCATTAATTGCTGGTAATTAATAACACTTGCTAATAAAGGTAAGCATTGATGAATAGAAAGCAAGTTTCGATTAGTGAGCATCGCACTGTAAAACTGTAAAACCTCGGCCTATCTTAAGGAAAAACTTTGCTCTATATTCTCCAAAATCCCTCACATTTCAAGGAAAAACTTTGCTCTATATTCTCCAAAATCCCTCACATTTTAAAATCTCTCACATTTCAAGGAAAAACTTTGCTCTATATTCTCCAAAATCCCTCACATTTTAAAAAATATATCAAATATAATATAATAAATATGAAATATCAAATCTTATTATGCTTATACTCATATGTCAAATCAATAAATTTTTCTACCACAGCCCATTAACTGAATTCTTTTAGAACTCTAGTTGCAATCTCCTATTGCTAATTCACTTCTACCACTGTTACCGTTATAAATTCTAAATTCTAAATTTATGATGAGTATAGATGATAACATAAGTGAAAATGGAATCATTAAAACAATACAATGGCAACTGTGCTTTTAGAGGAAGAATTGGAATCTGACATCTTCGAAAGAAGAGTTCGAGGAAGTCGACGCTAAAAGAATGGAACGAGACTTGCGAGGATTTCATATTATATGTCGATCCTTAGCACGAATTTGAATTTTTTCATTAAACTGCACATTGCAGATTTAACAAATATTATAATCTGCTGATAAAAATTAAGCAAAAAAAGCAATAAAAATAATAAACCTTTACTATCTCGTATCATCGACTCTCCGCCATATTTTTCATTTTTCTCCTCAACAACCTTTGAATGAGACTTTATATTCTTTTGCGTACAATTGTTTTTACTTTGTTTCCGCTTTTTCTTAGCCATCACCTTAATTGATAAATTTATTAATGCAGAAGGAAGAAAAATAACTTAGTGAATCGGGTGCCCTCGTTTCGGAGAGTTGCTGCAGTTCTATTTTCAGTATATTGACGTTCCAAGAATCCGATTTATACTGGCAGCCCACTTGTTAGTTCCAATAAGCCACAAGTCAAACGAGAAACAGCGAGCGCATTTAAGAAAAACAGTTAGAAAATCGAGGTGAATATTTTTGCTTTAAAATATTTGCTTCAAAACATAACTGCCATAATTTCTTTTTAAACGAAAAAAACTAAATTTACATTCAAATTCAGTATGCAAATTTAAAATTGCACTAAAACCAAATTATGTCCAAATTGTAATGGTTTGAAAATTTCAACAAGTATTTATACGATAGCTTTGATGGCATTAAGGATGATCAACCATGAAGGTCGACCGTATTTGGGTTTAGCAGCGACCTGCCAGAGTACCATAAAATACTCCCCTGACCGAATTAACCAATAATTCAAAATTCCACAAATTTTGATTTCGCAAATTTTTTGAATTAAAATCGCTGTGAGAGTATTTTGTAATTAGCAGCACAAAATGATCGATAATGATTGTTGTCTTCATTTGGTTTTTTGGTTCCAACAATCAGTGAATAAGAGAAGCGTAGATGAGTCAGCAAGCAACATAGAATCTTTGAAGGAGGGGTTCATTTCCACTGAGAATGAACCACAGCATCAGCGCTTTGAAATGAGAGCAATAGCACATTGAGCCAAAAATATTAATTATTTAAAGGGCTGTTTTTGTTAATGGCACCGGCGCATTCTTATTTGACCTTCCTTAAAATTTGAAAAGGCCAACTGAATCAAGTTGATCTTACTTTGAATTCTTCCAGTAGCACTCATCATTATCATTTCAGATTATTGGGTTCTTTATTAGAATTAAAATTAATTGATGATGAAAGTACAACCCACCTTTGGAACGAAACAATGAAGAGCGTCGTCTTCGCTGGTTAGGGAACGTTGTCCACCACAGAAGTTGACGCATATTTCGTTGCTTGCTAAACCGTGTGATGGTTGGTGTAGAAAGCGAGGAGGGCAAGTCAAAACCTGGACTGATATGGTGAGAAAACATATAGAAGGATCAGCGATATGTGGATTTAAACGTTGGATAAAGGAATGGCTTCTATTACTAGTAGCGATGGCGTCGGACCGAGCAGCTTGGGAACGTCCTACCTTTATAGCCAGCGGGAATAGCAATCACTATATATATGGCAGCGAGTCGGTTCTCTTTGAATATTATAAGAGGAAAAATAATTCTGAGCTTGCATTGACTATAGTCTCTGGCCCAATGCTCCACACATAGATCTTATTGTATATAAAATCATCAATCAACAGGAATATAAATCATTCATTGAGAACTTAATGGGGCTGTGGCAAATGACACTCGAATTCAAAACAGCTTGCAAAAAGCTAGCTATTAAGTGATGTATATATCAAGGTAACGCTACTGTTCCGCTTCAAGAGCGGTACTATCATCAGCCATCTTCTCTGCATGGATGGAACCAAATTCTAAAAGCGAACAAGGCATTAGTTTCATTCATTTAACACAAATCTACAGCGAAGACATCAATTTTAATTAAAGTGCAGCAGGGAAAGAACAAATTTTACTGCTAATATGGAAGAAGTTAGCGCTGATTATTTCTATGTCAGTTTTATGAGAATTTTCTACTAAGGAATCACTTGGAGATAAATACAAGTAAGCCGCAATTTTTATCATATCAAAGCGAGTCAGAGTTCTCTCTCTCGCTCGTTTCACTGATCTAAGTAACAAGTATTCGGTTATTGTGCCCCAATTTCTTTGCTGGGCAGATTCGCTTGAAATTCCATCATCATTAATTTATTACAATGTTGATAAGGAAATGTGAAAACCAATAAAATTAGTCATCGAGTGAAGCATAAGAAAAAATTTCACATTTTTAAATAAAAATTTATGAATTTTCCATGTCAAAAAAATTAATTTTCCACTTATTTAAAAATTTTTTATTTTTATTAGCAAAAAATATAGATTTTTTGAAAATAATTTACATTAATATATTCACTAATATATTTATAAAATATTTTTTGAGTGGATTGTGCGATTATAAAATGTGTGATATAACGACGATAATAACCTTCGTACAAGGATGATATATTTATTGATATCTTCTGAATGTTATCTTTGATTGATAAACACTGCCCGCAATCATTTATCTTATAATAAATCCTTTACGATTGGTTAATTTATTTTTTGCTTCAATATATATATATATATATATGTATATATACGTAATGATTTACGATGATTATAATTATCGTTACAATAATTTTCTACAAATAATTGAAGTGCTTACCATTTCTGAGTAAATTCATTACACTGGCTGAGAAATTTTTTGCAAAGAAATCGCTTGGCAATAGAAGTGTAGTGGGCCAGAAGTATTTGAATTTTTAAATGACAGACTTATCAAAAAGGTTAAATGTTAGGGAGCGCATTTTAGGAAAAGTAATGATAAGCATAGTGGAAAAAAATGTATTTATTTGTCTTCTCTGTGTACTAGGAGTTTAAAAATTTTTTATCTGAAAAATTGCTTATTTGAACAAAAATATGATTAACTAATTTCTTAATTCTTCTTTTTTCTTCTTTTATTCTCTTTTATAACTATTTTTATATAAATGAACAAAGTTTTGTAGGAAAACGACTAAAACAATTTTCTCATTCTTTCTTCGAGTTTCAGCAAAAATGCTGATGGTTTCTTATTATTTATTTTATTTATTTATTTCATTCATGGAATAAGATTCGTTTACCTTTAAATATTCTGCACAGCCTGGGATCTTTTATCATGGAACACAAGAAACTCTGATTTAAATGGCTGAAAAACTTTCTCCAAATTTTCCCGTTAATTGATTTTATGCTTTGTGGTTTTTTTATCATAATTTTTATTACAGAAACTTCGATTTGAAATTGTTTCAGTGGTATAGTTTGGTAAATTTGCTCAACCATTCCCAGATTAGCTTCTATTTTTAATAAATTTGGTTTATGTCGATAAACGAATGTTGTGAAATATTTAAAATTTCGATTCACTGATCAAATTATATAATATTTAATAACAAAAATATAAGATTTGACTTTTTGCTATGAAATGAAAACTTTTAATATTCCTTTTTGAAAATTTTTTCCCCTACTTTCTGCGTTAACTTTGAAATAAGGAAAATTTTGTGCTTGGAAACCATTCTTTGAATTTTGTCGGTTAGTAATCATATCATTTGATAATAAATCATAAATTTAAAATTAATACATCAGAAAATCATTTTCTTATTTCTCGAATAGACGGAAAAAGAAGAAATAATAAGGATTTGCTAAGCCTACAATGTAAAGTGAGAATGATCATCCAAAATTCAACTTGAACTTCGGTTTAATCTGAACTATTGCGAGTTATGTAACCAAATAGATGCAATTTTGTTTAGAGGACTCTCTATAATGAAGGCTAGGCTTGTCTGCAACAACATTCTATAAAACACCAAAATGAAATATTGCAACATTTCTATAGACATTAGGCTTCTTGAAAAAGGCTTTTTTAAGGCATTCTAAGCTAATTTCAGTTTGAAAATCTTTGTTCGTCTTTTTAAACCAATTTTTTGGTAGAGGGATTCGATCCTGTCTTCCTCACGAGTAAATCTGTTTTTAAAAAATCCACGCGGTGCTGCCTATTCATATTTATTTCTATCGCTAAGGAATCATAAAAAAAAATTTCTAACGGCATTACCAACCAGTTCAACTAGTCTGATTAGAGGAGATATCCACTGCGCTATCCGCTTAATTACACTTTCTTTTTGTGGCGATTAATCACTTTATCCAATTTCGCCTTAGGGCTTATTGTTCCACAAAGTCGTAATTCTTTGTTATAAAATGATAAATGAATGATAAATACGCCTAAATGCGATATAAGATACCGAACATCGAAGAAACTATCTCAATTTCAATTTTATTAGAAATGATAAATTCTATTGACGAATTTTATAATTCTCAATAAGATTTATTTTCGTATTTCACCAATGAACACTTTAAGCAGTTGAATTATTTACATAAAGCATAAAGAGTTCTCCAATTCTCGAGAAGATGAAATATAAATATTCCGTTATTTTCATAAATATTTGATTTTCTTAGTTGCTGATCGCAGTCGTTCCAAAGGTCAGTAATCTGTCTCAAATTCTTTATTTTCGACAGGAAATTAGAGTGTGGAATGTGGACTTTGAATAATTCCATCTGCACTCTCATATCCTTCTAATTTTAAGACATAAACCATTGCATTATTCTGCTAATATTTATAACATTCGATATGACTTTTTTGTGTTTTCAGTCGACTAAAAGGTTTCTGGAAATATTTTTAAAGAACTTTGGATTAAAATTATTGTTAAAGGAAATAAAATTAGTTTTTAATCAGAAAAGATATGACATCGTTAGCCATCTTGATAAGGTTATTACTCATTTTTTTGATAAAATCCATGGAATCTGGAATAGAGTACAAATGGCTCAGTCGAAGGTTGTTTTGAGAAAAAGGGAAGTATATGAGTTCAATTTCTATCTATTGATTCGGAACACTGGTTATGGTACCATTAGCGCATTCATCTTCTAATCTCTCGCTACGAAAGATTCCATCTTACGATTCAGTACTGCCAGTCAAACCAGAAATGGCGTTCAAGAAGTGAAATTTGTTCAATAATTAAATGAGAAAGTGTTCCACTATTGAAAATTTCATGATATTATGATGAAGTTTTATATATGAAAATTTTATACAGAGAAGGAATAAAGATTAAAGTGAGCGACGATGATTAGCGATGATAAGAAGAAAAAAGAATCAGTAGGATTTTATAACCAGTGGCTATCAGAATTAGCTATATCATGCGAGCCTGAATGTATGTCAATTCTCTATGCAAAATCATTCATTGATCTGAATGAAAATGAATCGAATCAAGGATCTCAACAAATTTTTATTGGTGAAAGGTAATTCCATTCCACTTTCGAAGAGTTCACCCCAAATATAGTGATAATTTAATGATAAGTATATAATGGTAATGCGCCGAGATAAAGTTTAAAATAATTTTGAGTTCAGTAAATCGGCCAAAAAGGTGGATCGATATGCACCAGTTAAACCTAGGCGTTGCATTGCTAGAATGAGGCCAACTGATCCGGTTATGACTATTTCAAAACCTCGACATCAAAATCGCAACAAGTCTAGTCATTCTACTGATGAATTATACCAAAGGTATTTTTAGAAATTTTCTTTTTATTTGTGTCGACTGATAAGCTGATTCGAAGGTGAAAGATGATGGCTACTGGAGGCCTATCTATATCTTTATCTTCAATGATTCTCTGGCGAAAGAACGAATCTCAAAGTAGTAGCCAAATGAATAGCTAAGCCAGAAATAACGCTTGTTTGCCCTTAGAGAAGGAGAAAGAAAAATGAAAATTAGCAATGAACTAAGGGTAATGAAGGGTAAAAGCATAATTTTGTTCTAAGAGCCCAGTGCTGGTTACGCTTGCTTCTTTGGCCAGTTGGACCAGATGAATTTTGCTAGAAAGATACTTGACGATAGTAAAGATGATTTGTCAACCCTCGGAATTTCGGAAGGTTTACCCTGCCGAGAATAGAACCTCGGCATTTTCATTCTAAAATCACAATAGCCCACTATGCCACTCTAAATCACTATGAAAATCATTCCAAAAACCGTAAATCTGCATTCTAAGATTATATTCAAATAAATGAAATCGAATATCTTTCAGACGCGAGGCCTCCATATCAGAAGACAATAAAAGTAAGTTTAATCGTAATAATATCGACTAAGTCAAATATAAAAAATTAAAAAATATAATAATTTTGATCAGCCAAGCTTAAGTGCATCTGCGAATGTACTTTAGCAGGTCACTTATCATATATATATAAAGATGATGGTCAATTGGCGACTTTATTACGATCGTTGAAAATTAACGATAGCTGCGCAACTGATAATTCAACTGCAAATAGCTTGAAGAAGAATGAAATTGTGCGAAAACGACTCAAAGGATGTAGGAAAGAAGATAATGATAAGGCATCTGAGCGGCGAAAGTCCTGCAGCTATTTAGATTTTTGGCTTAAAAAATTAAGCCACCAAAAATTCCTTAATCACAGAACTGCATCGACTGAACTCCATCCATTAGTTAAAAATTATGGGTAATATTTTATATTTTATATAAATTATTATAAATTATCGTAAACACTACTTTGATATTTAATATATTAAATATTATTTTATAGTTTTTAGAGTCTGTTAATTATTTAAGTAATTCATAGTGATTAGAACTTTTCCCAACTATTGGCACGTTTTCAAAAAATTTCTCGTATAAAATTATCTAAATGGGCAGAATATGCCCTCAAAATATCATTCTTATCAATGATTTAGGCAGAAATTTTTATTCCCTTTTTTTTCTGGCCTTTATTTACATTAAAACCCTCTGGTTTTGGGTTCTTTTCTTAATCTTTTTCGCAGATTTTCTGTTAAAAAGGCAATTTTTTAGAAATAAAAAATTTTTGGATTTCGCAAATATTTTTAGCCCTTCGTCGCTGAATAGAATGTCAACGGATAATGATTTCGATAAAACTACTTTCATACCGAAATATTTTCAGGTGAAATTAACTACAGTTTTTTTTGATGACTGGATGCAAATAGAAGTGGAGAAGTTAAGACAAACATTAAAATTCAAAGCAGCAATCAGATTTAGTCATTTAAGTTTTAGGAATGCTTTAAACCCCTTTTTTTATACCGAAAGGCAGCTAAACATACCAAATTTTGAAAGAAAACCAGCCTAACCGACCTACAAAATTGCAAAATCTAATCATGGCTCCTCGAAAATATTTCAGACGGAAAGAACGCAGTTTGATGATCGCACATTTTCTCAAGTGAATCTGAATAACTCTCAACCACATAAAATTGGTGATGGAAAGTCAAAGAAGTATTGCCCAACTGTCAGGTTAGGTCGTCGTTTCAAGCAAAGTTCAAATAAGAGATTTAAAATTTTTCTAGTTTTTACTCGTAAAATTTGTGTTTGTGAGGCCGCGCGGGTCGTTTATTTTGTCGCAGTTATTAATAATCGAGGAGCAGGATAATCTTTTGTTTATAAGCCAGTGTTCTTCCTCATTATGCCTTCCTAACAAAATTTTTGAAATAAAATATATATTTCCTTTCTCTTTCCTTGTAGCTTCCCATCAGTGCTTCCACAGTGATTAGTGAAGCTGGTTCATGCATGAGAAAGAGAGCGCAGTTTGCCAGCTGCAACTTCTCAGATCTATTTTTGCCATACGTTGGCATAATGATCGGCTTCACCTGCAGTACCAGCGGAAAAAACCTAACTTTGACATGTATAGTCATGTTAAGTATCGGCAAAATTGCTTTTACAGCAATTGCTTCTAATTGCTTTTAATTTATTAGCTGCGCTGGTCGCTTAATGATAAAATACTTGTCATCCAGAATAATTCAAGTTCGAACTCGACCAGACGCATCAAGCAAGCTTCGTTGAGTTAAAATTTCGCTAACAGGAAAAATGAAAGTTGATAAAATGGACTGTCGCTCATTGTAGAACGGTGATTTAAAGTTCTACAAAAGAGAATTTGTCCTTCAAAAATCCTGGTGATGTGGCAACTATTTATATTGATAAACTCCTGGCAAATTTAATAAACTGTCTGTTCAATAAACTGTCTATTTTGTCTAGTGCGACAAGCCAACTGAGTGAACTTAGCGAACAGTAATGAGCACTCTTTAAAAAAAAATTTACGTAAATTAGAAGTCATGTCGGCATAGTACTGATAATGATAGTGAAGGAGCCAAAATCTATCAAATTTCCCTAAAATATAAAAAACAAAATAAAAATAATATTAAATAAAAATATAAATAATAAAATATAACAAAGGTAATATATCTCAAAAATAATAAAATTATATATTATAATTATAAATATTATTATTTTGTTTGCTAAAATTAATTTAAGAGGCATGGAATCAATATATATCGAGACTTTTTTATTTATTTATTCTATTTATTTTTATTTATTTTCAGTTGTTATGCTATGCCTAAAACCCGTCCTATATCATCAATATTACTATCAAATGAACTCTTATCGTTGTTACCGAAATCAGTTGAATTTGAAAGTACCAATAATGCAGATTCAGGACGAAGACCTCTGAAAATAACGTCGAATTTTCGTGAAAAAATATTTCACAGAATTTCTGATCAAAATTTTCCCCATTACACATCTCTTGCTAGTTAGTTTTCAGCTTAGAGATAAAATTTATACCAATCAATGAACAAATTATTTAATCACATTTTGATCGGCAAAATTGCTTTTACGGTAATTTATTAGCTGCGCTGGTCGCTTAATGATAAGATACTTGTCATCCAGAATAATTCAAGTTCGAACTCGACCAGACGCATCAAGCAAGCTTCGTTGAGTTAAAATTTCGCTAACAGGAAAAACGAAAGTTGATATTTATCACATATCACATTTTCCTCACTAAAAACAGAAAGAGTGGCTATCAGATAACGAGAAAAAGGCATGAAAATATTGGCGTATTTATAGAAATATTCTTCTAGCAGATCATTACTGGCTTAGCTGTCTCTACTACTAGCTATAGTGAGTCATTTGGAGTATACAAGTACTGTTGCTATTCTCACTATCTCATTGTTCGTTTGTATATATATATATATATATGTATCTATGTATGTATAATTATTTTCCAATTATATTATAACTTGAAGCCACTCTGATACCTTGGCGAAAGAAGAAAACTATCTTCATCTTGGGCAACTGCAACTAAAAATATTTTTTTCTGCTTGCCGAAGTCTCTGTGGAATAGCAAGAAATCTGCTTTCAGCGAAATTTTATAAGTCTCCAAGTCTCTCGTGACTGGATTCTCCTTCAGAAACCACATATTCGCCTGCGTTGGTTAAGCCATATTCTTCGTCTTCAACCTCGAAAATTTCTTATCTCTTTCTAAGGATTGAAAGAAAAGAGATCTGATCAAGACCTTGACCTTGAATGTTCTTAAGATAGATTAAGAAGAACACAGAGAACACACTAATATCGAAAAAGGAGTTTCAGTTAATTCCAAGTGTGGAATTGGATCGGAAGACTTCGGGAAATTTTAAGCTAATCGCCAACATAGCCAGCAATGGTGCGATCCGCTAGAAAAAGAATTATTTTATAGAGCTGTTAGGCATGAGTGCCAAATCCACTTTAAGGTATTAAATGAAGGCGAGAAGTTAAAAAAATTGCTTAATAATAAGCTATGACCATCTATCGTAACTTATCTTTTAATCCATCCTTAAATTCATCATTCGTTCATTTCTTGTGGCTAATTTAAGGTACAGTGGACCATGTTTTGCGATTGGCAAGCGCCATATATGCTTTAATGAATTCACCATCAGATTCGAATACTCCCGCAGAACTGTTAATGAAAACGAAACTTTTTTTGCAAACTATGGAAATCTCTTCATTATCGCATTTTCTTCCAAATCAAGTAATTTATATTGTAAATTACATCGCTGAAAGTGAAATCTTCTTGATGTGGGATGACTTTCTATTCCTATCCTTTGCTTCCTGAAGTCTCATATTAGGCAAATTGCAAATATTATTATTATTGTTTAATATTAATATTAGAAAATGAAATTAGCAAAGTCATTAGTAAAATAATTCATAATATACAAAACAAAATAACGGGAATAATAAAATGCAAATATGATTAAAATTTTAAGGACATTCAAACTCTTCGGCGGATTATTTCTGATTTACGTTATCAACAATCATACAATGGCAAATGTATGATTGTTTCAAGTTTTTTTATTATAATGCTAAAAAAAATTATTGAAGAAGTTTTAGTTCTTTTTGCAAAAGTAAGTTGCTGATTTTCAATATTTTTTCGCTTTGTTGTTTTAAAAATTGTTTTTAAAAACACAAATTTTGTTTTTTTAAAATTTTGGTAATAGTTTTTCAAATTTTTTCTCTTCCAATTATCAATTGCCGTTCAACGGAATTATTACCTAAAGTACCAGAAAAAAGTAGAAAAATTCATTTCACACCAGATTATATCACTGTATTTATTAAATTCGACGAATTGCGATCGATTATTAGTTATCGCTCTCGAACAATTAATTCATTTAATGCTTTTTGGAGATGAAATATGTTTGGTGATTATCCAGGTTATCTTATTTCTATGGTTTTGCCATTTTTGTGAGTTCGAAAATCGCCCTTAAAACTGTTTAGGCAATATTGAAAATGCTCGTTTCGACCCAATTGAAAAAATAATAATAAAAGCAATAAAAAAGTTGGAAACAACTTTTTTTCTGGCTGCAATTATCTAAAAATTTACCTCCGACGATTCAAATAAAATCAAAATTTTAGTATGGTGGCCTTAAGGCAATTTTATCATTATGTGATATATCGTCAACACCAAATGAAACGTTACGGTTATTATTGCGTGCCTTATCAATTTTGTGTGGCTTATATAAAGCGTCATTAAGATTAATATTTGTCAGTCTTTAATTCCGAAAAATTCTATTTTCAGAAGAAATTTTCATTTTTTCAACGTCTCATTTGCTTAGTTAATTATTAATAAAATCGAATTTTTAGCTTGGTGGCCTAGAAACAATAATAAATATAATGTTCACTGCACCAATCCCATGTGCTGTAGAAGCTGCTGGAGTATTCGCTCAGTTAACGAATCCCAATCATAATTTCATCACGTTTAACTCATCGCTATGTAATATCGCAATTCGATTACTTGGTACTAAGATTGTTTAAGTCATCACTGTTGAAACCATTTGCTATTGCCACTCAAACTGTTTCCAACTCATTAAATTTAAAAATTACAATAGAAATTTAGAAATTATCGATGAGAGTTTGACATCCGAATCATTACTCTTATCAATGGTTGCTTTGGCCAATATCACTTCGCAAAAAAAACCTGTAGTAGATTCACTATATCGACACAATGGTATTAAGCGGATTGTTAATGCCTTACAAAGACCTGACTGTAAAACGGTTTTTGTACTAGAACAGGTAATAATTTTCAGTTTAGCATATGCATGCGAATGCGAATATACTAGAGAAAGGCCCAATACTCACAAGAAAAAAATGCTATACAGCAAATGAAGAAACGAAGAACATTACTTTCTCTCATTTCACTTATATATGCAAAATTTTTAGGAAGAAGTATAAACAAGATCATATTTCAGAATTATTCAATTGAATTTACCTCGAACTCCATCATTATTTTAAATTTGCTGCTTGCATAACTTTGCCTTATCATCAATTTTGCTTCAGGCTATATCTATATTCTCGAGCTTACTGGCGAATGGTTATGAAGAGGCCATAATAGCTCAAAACGCAATACCTTTACTGCTATCTGCTCTTACAGAGACTGATGCAGTATATTCGCATTATTGCCAGCAAATACAGCATAAAGCTGCAATTTGTATCAATGCCTTAGCATCAAAGGGGATCGGCCTGAAGGCGCTTTATGAAAAAAATGGTACCCAACCTTCTATGTATTTATTAATGGTGTTCATCAAATGAAATCATAAGATTTGTCAAAATAGCCGAACGAATTTCTAGGATATATGGTTATTTCCAAACTACTCAGAATGGAATGCATTCAAAGGACTTCTGTTGCAGTTATATGTTCGAATATAAAAGTTATGATGGAAAAAAAATATCAGCTTGAAAGCGCTGTTTGAATTCGTTAATCGTTCTTTTAAATGATTTCTACATATTTAATTTAAAGTTTAAACTTCATCCAAAATGGATTTGCTTAAATTATTCTTTTATAAATTTGATCGAATACAATTCCAAAAACATTTATTAACAAATTAACAAATAAATATTAATAAATTATCGATTGGATAACTTATTGCATTATCACAATAATAAAATGTCGATCTTGATATCGCATATCATAATATATCAGAATACATATATATATATAAAGATAACATAAGAGATTCAGAAGATTTGCCAAAAGAAGACCTGCCTTACCCAATTTTCAATGAAAATTTTTGTGAAACTTAAATTGTAACCTATAGAAGAATATAAATGATCCTCTGAAAAATGTTCTATACTTGGAACCTCTAAAAAGATCTGACGTCTTTATTGCTAAGAGCTATTAAAATTCATAAAACTTTCGTAAAACCACATAGAAAAAAATGCAATACGTTGCTGCTATCTCTTCTTTGAAGCCTTTTAATTGAGGGTTGATAAAAATACTTTTTGCGCTTGATTCCTATCTTCTAATAATTCTGCTCATTACTGGTTAGGCCAGTTCCATTGGGTACAAAGTTAAAAGTCTCCAAGCTGTTCGATTCTCGCTGATAATGCTATTCCTTCTTCCACCGTCTAAGTCCATACATTGCTGGTCTACCTAAGTTCTAAAATTTTCTTACCTCGCTTTTGCCGCTATCTATCAGGGTTTAGCAAATAATGAAACTGTTTCAATTTCTGTGGTGGGCTACGTGCTGTACCAGTGAAGGCGACGCAATGAAGGTAAGGTTATAGTTAATATAGGTATTTGAGTGAAGGTTGACGCACTTATGTGGAATTTTCTCCGCTCAGTGGATCCATAAAATATATCTTGCATAAGTGGTCGAAGGAAGATAACTTTTTAATATGCTCCTCATAGCATGTAGCAAGACTGAGCGAACTGCAGCTAATAGAGGCAGACTTTCGTTTTTATGGTATTCTGCTACGGTTGCACAAAGTTCATCAACCAGAAGAGCGCATTTCTAGATACGTTATTCGGGTCGTAGTTTCGTCTTTTGCCTGGCCATTTGGGATTGAAGTGGATTGAAGATATTTAAATTAATGGATAGAGATAAGTATTTCATCAGCTTTTTCAATATAAGATGAAAAGACTTTCGCTTATTTGCATTGACCCTGGGTCCGATTCTCGCTGCACTTGTCGACATAACAACGTTTGCACTTCGCCACAACTGTCAGCAAAAGGGATTATAGTTCTCATCTATTATTTATACAAATATACTCACAAATTATAAATTATAATTCATATTCTTAAAAGAATAAAAAATCTGATTCATTTGAATATTTGAATAAAAGATTCTATACTTATTTCTGCTGCAATCTTCAAATTTATTCAATAAAATGTTTTAATTTGTCCTTAAATTCCTTAAATTATAAGATATGAAGCAGTGTAAAAACTTTATGAAACTTTGTAAATCTATTTGCAAATCAAAATTTAGATCGCAGAAATTTATATAAATTTCTGAATCAAACCTCCATTTTACCTGTTTTGAAATAGTTTAATCAACAATCCTCAGTCTTCCACAGATTATTTTTTTCCTTTTTTCACCAATCGTGAGTTTCGCCCTTAAAATTTTCAAATAAATAAGGTTGCTTACTATTATTGTTAATTTCGCTTGATTCATATCTTTTCTTCATATAGCTCTCAGCATAAATGGTTAAGCTGGCTGCAAGGAGATTTAGACGATTCCAAGCTGCACGGACGACCCGACCCAGTTAAATACGATTACGCATTAACAACATTTGAATAACCTCCGCTTTTTAAAACTCGCTTATTTGAACATCACCACTAATTTTGCGCTTCTGACGCTGAGTATGAGCTATAAAGCTATAATTAAGAGTGTAATTAACAATTCGGCACACTGGATCCCGAATTCTTCACTTTTTAATTGTGTACCGCAGATAACTATCGCAAAAAAAAATTTATAACGTGACATAACCCGATTAGACGACTCAATAACTGAAGTGACTAGAGAAAAAACGATTTCCAATGTTACATAAATACGATCCTCAAAACAGATAAAAGCGGGGAATATTTTATTTCCTTTTGCACCAAATGAAGTCATGGGAATCATAGATAACGGCATATTTCTCTACCAGAAGACCATATCGATCTTGTTGACCTTTATGAATTACAAAAGATCAACGATGTGAGCGCAAAAAATTTTACAAGGTAAATAGATTCTCCACTAGTAGACAGGTAAAACTTGAAAGCATGATTATCACATTCAAAGTAAACATATTGTTTATATAATAAAATAAATTATTCAACGAAATCTGTCTCATCCTTCCGAAATGAAGGCTAAGATGCAAAATGAAATTCTATAAGAAATTAATAGATTGTTCGAAAGAAATCTCTGTTCTATTTCCGAGTATTGTATGAAGAAGTTTAATTTTTTGTAAGTGATCTGAAATAAATTTGTTGCAATTCGAAATTGGACAATACACTCCAATCAAATCATCAAAAAGAATTGGAAAAAAAATAAATAACGACAATAATATCAACAGTAATATTAATAATATCAAGTAATTTTAAAATAATATGACAATAATTTAACAGTATAATAATCAAATGTTTCTGATCAAATAACAGAAAAACTAGGTGAACGTTTTTAACATCTCAATTTCTAAAGGATGTAAATCACCAGGTATTATTAGTGAATGAAGTGGAGGTCCCAAGTTGATAGCACACATATCATCCAGTGAACAGAAAACAATCTTTAATAAAAAACAATATAAAATAAAATAAATAATCATTTTTTCATTATCAAAATTGTCAATTCCCACTTATAATAAAAAAAATGCTATTAGTTCATCAAATAGCAACCAGGAAACAAACAAAATTAAAGGAGATTTACAGGAATTTTATTTGCCAAATAAATTTGCCAATGATTTGAGCCAAATTCTCCATTTTTCTAATGAAAAATATCTTAAATCGTAATTTAAAAAACAAGAAAAGACTATACTTTTTGGTCAGGCCAACCAATTCTCGCCAAACCAACACACATATTTCTTGAGGAAAAAGCTGAAAATATTTCCCCTTAAAATTAAAATTTAAAAATTAAAAAATTTTTGAAAGTTAAAAAATTAAAATTAAAATTTCGAGATCCATTTTTTGGATTAAAAAAACATTGTAAATTAACCAGTTTTGCTCCCAGTTGCGACCCTTCGTTCGATAATTTTTATAAGTTGCTCAGCAGCCATTGAACACGTCAAAAAATTGGGTTTTTCGAAAATTTTGAGCCCCCTGAAAAAAACTTGATGCAACAATGGTACTTAATAAAACATCAAACGAATTAAATTAATAGAAATAATGAATAAGAGGATAGAATGACTCAGCGCATTGTTGCTCAATTGGGAATCGCCGATGCTGAGGTTCGATTCCCTGCAGGAGTAAACCTATACAAATACCTGTATTTCTATCGCCAAGGGACTCCCTGGCATATTTGTCCAAGCCAGTGAAGCGAGTTTAACTAATAATGGTGGAGACTTAACTAATAAACTAATAAAAAAAGAAACATGGTCGATAATGAATAAAAAGCCAAGTTTCGAAAACTCAATCGTTTATTTTATAGAATTTTTTAAGATATTCTATAATGGATATTTTGAAAAACGAAAATCCAAACTAAAATGAAAATAATATACTTCATAAGATTTTCAACTGACTGCTCTTTTGTTTTGATATCTGTAAATGACAATGTTGAAAAATTATAATGTTTCAATGAGAACAAGTAGCATGTGTTCGATTTCTGCTAAGCAGGAGCAAATAAAACTGATATTTTAATTGAGGGATGACCTCTAAATCTCTTGCCTTAAGTAAACTGAGCGAATAGATTTCATTAGCCACTGCAGTAAAATTAGAAATGAAATATTCATAGAAGAATTGGACTTTCAAGTATTCGTTTAGTTTTTAATCGAATAAGCAAAAACAAACCAAGAAGACATAAAGTGTGTAATCCTCTTTCTTTATTAGCATTAATTTTATCAAAAAATGAATCTGGTTGCCAATTTTCAGTCCATGCCACAATCGATACAATTTCACCAAATTTGTATAACTAAAAGTATATAAAAGTATATAACACTGCTGGGTTTTTGAAGACTCATAAATAGGTCACAAAACAAAGTTTCTAAAGTAAAACCTGCAATCCGCAACAGCCTACAGCACTTATAATTGATGCATTATGTACTATTTGTACAGGAACATTCAATAGTTTAGCTCTTAAAACCAAATCGGTATGCGTTGTGGCAGCAAAAGGATCACCCACAACAAGTAAACAAACATCCTGAGAAGAAGCATTCTCCAGAATAACATCTAAGAAATAAGAACAATTCATTCCATAAAAAACAAATTACATATAACTGCCAATAATTTTACCAAAAAATACAAACATTTGGCCCTGTTAAAAATATTAACGCAAAAAAACTGACCTGAGGCTTGCTCCACTGTATCGCGATCTGCATCAATGATTTCCTTGCCATAAAATTCTTCCAATTTTTTTCGATCCAACCCATAGGAAAGAATGCTCGTGTATGAGTCCAGATATACTTTCTCGCACTTTTTCACTATTTTAAAACCTTTTACAGTAATATCCTCAATATCACCCAGCCCTATGCCAATTAAATAGAACACCATTTTCTCTCTAAATCTCCTTTCTAAAAAATATATTAATTCCAGAGAAGAGAATTGTATTAAAACTCAAAAGAAAATTAGAAATTAGAAATCAAGCGAAACGATATCTAAGCAATTCATACTTTTAATTACAATAATGATGTTAATAATTTTACAAATAAAAGGATTTTACATATCAGAAAGAAGGAAATGAAGGTACTTCAGTAAAAATATCCGCAATCTAAAGAAAAATAAAAGAAGCAATCAAAATATTTTATTTTTTATAAAAGCACTAAAACTTTGATTTGAAAATTTCGATTTTAAATAAATAATTCCACAAAGAATCAATTTTTAAAAATTATTCAAAATTTTTAAAGTAATCATTTTAAAAAATTAAGTTATAGAATATTTTCACAGAGGAGATTATGTGAAAATATATTCCATCAAAAAACTAAAAATCTTTTTGAAAAGTAAATCCGATAAATCAGCGGCTTATCAATCTTATCTTTCTTCTGCCAGATATCATAACTGGCCTGGCAGGTTTTTATTCTTAAAAGGAAATTTTTTAATCGCAGAATGATTTAAGGATAAAAAAATACTCTATAGCGGCCACCATATTTTGCATTTTGATAGAATTTTTCCCTTCTAATAAGTGGGAATAGAATTTTAAGCTCTTAGCCATATGCGACTCAATCTCTTTTATCATATTTTTTCATATTTTTTCAGCCATATGCGACTCAATCTCTTTTATCATATTTTTTCATACATTTGAGAAAAATTTTCGAAGAATGGAGAATTTATGATGAAAAAAATTAATAGCTGCTAATGTATGAGAATTTCACCAGTTTAGTGAAATATTTTATAGAAAAAATATAGAAATTAAAACTACCTTCAAGATCTTCCAGAGCACAATTTGACAAACATTAATGGATCATAAGATCGTTCCAATTGAATTATTATTTTTACATTGATACATAAAAAAAAAAGAGAAGTCAACCAAATGAAGAAAAATGTGTTCAGGCCTTTGAATTCAAATAAATAAGCGAAATAAAGCCATAAACCTTGACCAAAAAGCCACCAAAAGAAGAGAACCATTGTTTTCTTCCAACTCAGCTAAAACTACACGTATCTTAATCTTAACTGAAATAAAAAAAGAATTTAAATAAATTAAAACGAGAATGCATCTTTAAAATTAATAAAAATTACAGTTATATTACATTATATTAAATAATTGAAGTCAAAAAATTTAATTTATTTATTTTTAAAATCTAATTTCATTTCCAAATTGGAAATTTTCAAAATTTTAAAAATTTTGAAAACACTTAGAAAAAATCCTTTTACTTATTAATGATCTGTCGAAATAAAAAATCTGAAAAGAAATTTCTGTTAAATTAATTGAAACCTACATTAAGTCGAGAAGGTATAAGCGGAAGTAAACATAAGTACCACAAGAAATACTGACTGGTACAAACTTTATTAAATGAAACGAAAGCAAGCGTTGTTAAAAACCAGCAAAATGGTAAATCTCTGTGATACCTTCAATAAAAAAAAATTCTTGTGTATCAAAATCTTGCAGTAAAATCTTATTTATTTACTTTTAAAAATAATAAAATATCACAAATATTGCTCATAAAACAAAATGAAACAATAAAAAACATAAATAGCTGCGACATAAATTACCTGAAGGCGAACCAAAAAATTAAAAATGCTTGAGGAACAAAAGCCAAATAGCCAATATATTGCGATAATTTAAAATTTTCTTTCGACAAATAAAATATATAAAAATAAGGAGAAAAATTATGCCTCGTATCTGTGCGTGATACATGATATAAAACAAATTCTTGTATACAACGATAACCGAAAAATGCAAAGTATAAACCAGTCAATCCAAGAAAACATAAGATGGAAATCTGAAAATTACTGAATCCTTAAACATTTTTGATAAGATCCCGAATATAGCCTTAATGCGTTTAAATAAATATATAAATGGGTAGCACGGATTTTTATTAAGTAAGCGTTTAATATTGATTATTCCCGCTCGTCTACCACGATTAAAAATTTTACCAGGGAGTTATTTGGCGATATAATTATAGGTGGGTGACAAGCGAATTTTTTAATGTCAAGATTACTTCTATAGGTCCTTGCCTTTGAACATGATAACCCGAGCCAGAATCCATTCACCTATTTTATTCACTATTAACTTTTATAACAATATAAAAATGTTGATACAATGAATTCTACTGCAATTACATAAAGCCAAATTAAAATATATGTTCTAATTAATTAAAGCATGAAAAACAAACCTACTATTTTGCATCCAAAACAACAGAAAATTGATCAAACAAAAAAATATAGAATAAATGATTAAAACTTTACTATGGAAAAATGGAAAAATAAAAGTGAAATGACCAAATTTTTCGGAAAAAATTTAACCGTACCAAAATGAAAATAAATCCTCTGGTGTTGTAAAATATCCGTCTCAAATAATCATTAGAATCTTTTGCGGAGTGAACATTCGATAAATAAAAAAATATTGACGGCAAATAAATAACAGGATATAATTTAAAATGCACAGCGAATATTCCATGAACGAAAGCAGCTTTTAACCACTTTAATAAAATAAAGTCAATCACCGTAATATAAGGTAATTATATTTGATAATATACAAATAATCTAATTGCATTTCAAATGAATAAAAACCTCATTTCGTGCAAGAAGATAAAGTGTTAGCAAGACTGATGCACATACGATTACATCAGCATTTCCTCGCGATGAGATCACAATAGTTAGTGGATTGACTAACCAAAATATTAATACCCAACCTTTTGCACAATACATTAAATAGTTCTATAATGTAATAATATAATGAAATGTAGTTTCTGTAGATGAAAAAAGTTAAAATCAGTTCATTTTCGAATTCCGTCATTATTAATAGATCTTTCATAACAAATCTTCAAAAAATTAAATGTAGGTGTGATATAATTTTTATACGAGTAAAAAATTAAATAAATAAAATTAGATTCAGGTTAACAAAATTCAGGTCATCCTCCGGCCAAAGTAGGACAAATCTAAACGAGAATAAACGGCTGAATCAGAAAAATATTTATATTTTCTAATGATATATAAATTGACAATATTCTCAATTTGCTTTTATTAGATGGTGTGTCGATGTACAAATTTACTTAGGCAACTTAAAGTACATTTATGGTTATAAGATGGTTTGACTGGTTAATCTATCTAATTAGATTCACAAAATTTTAGAAGCTCAAAATAAAAAAATAGCTAAACGTTGAATTTTCAGAATTTTCGAGATTTATTTAAAATATATGATAATGGATAAGTGGTGCACTGGGGATTCTATCTCAAGCAAAGAGAAAGATCAGCAAAATTCCGATGTCACTAACACATATGATTTGAAATAAATTTAACAAAATAATTGTTATATTTAATTTTGAGAGAAGATATTCAAATAAAGATATTGCTCTATGCTGAGATAATTTATAAATCATATAATTATAATTTAATTATATATTATTTATAATTATAATTTATAAATCATATAATTCTAACGATAATTGGTAATTCAACACATTCGATCCGTTCGATCTCATTATATGGTTCTAAGACATAGCCAATGAGAGTGGAGGATATTAAGAAGTTATCTGCCTTTGAGCACTCTTGTCTAAGGTATATTTTACGGGTTCGCCGAGTGGATAAAATCTCACAAGATCGCATCCACCTTCGTTCAAATACCACTTGCATAAATAATGTTATCACAGAGCGCCGCCTTCGGTTACATTCTCCGTCGTCCACCACAGGAGTTGACGCATATTTCGTTATTTGCTATGTGACGACTGGCGTCAAAAGCGAAGTGGGCCAATCAAGACCTGGACTGATACGGTGAGAAAAGATTTTTGAACGTATAGGTGGACCAGCAATATATGGACTTAGACGATGGCAAAAGGAATGGCTTCCATTACTGTCGACGATGGCATCAGACTGCTTGGAAACCGCTTGGAAACGTCTTACCCTTGTAGCCGTTGGAGCCAGCCTAACCAGTAATGGTGAGAGCTGTTAGAAGAAGAAGAAGAAGAATTCAACACATTAAAAGTAAATTATCAATTATGTCGGCATAAAGAATCGACTTCAAATATTGATTGTTGCACGTAAAACAGGAAACCAACCTCACTGGACTGAAAATCTTTTTTTTTGGTAATGATCTTATGATGGATATCACAACAAATGATGCGATAAGTTAAATGTCCAACGAATACATCTAATCCACAAAACAACCATTTACCTGAAATGATTTATAATAATAATAGTATGTGATGAAATCAAATAAATATAAATAAGCGAAATTTTTTTATTTTGCCAAGAGGAATCTAAAGCTGAATATTAATTGATAAACGAAAAAGCTACTAATAATACTAAAAGTAATATAAAAAATTCTAACAACATTCACCATTTTCAGTTTGGCTGACCACTGGTTACCTCTTCGCCAACGAATTACTTGGAAGGTATGGTTCAAGTTGACTCCCAGTCTCACTTTCAATTTTAATGATATAACTTCTACCAAGAAATAGCAATTAAAATAAATAGTGAAAACTCGACCAACATATCTCAAAGCTATACCATCATTCTCCGTTTGAATCAAAAAATTACTAAATAATTACTAATTACTAAATTACTAAATAAATTTTAATTAAAATCATCTAATCCACGCAAAAAAAATAAGAAAAAAAAATTCTAAATTTTTTTAACTAAAAAGATAATCAAATAACAACGACTGTTACACAACAATTGTACATTTTGTTGACTCGATTTTGCCAAGCATATGTCCAAGCATCTAAAGGTTGGAGTGGGTCAGGGGGTTGTTGCGCCAATGCTGAGGTCCAACTCCAAACGGTAGTAAATAACGGTAGTAATCTTCCAAAAATCCGAGGGCGATCCAATTCTATTGGCAAGTGGCTCTCTAGTAAAATTTGATATATGACCAATAGATCGAGTTTAACCAAAAATGATGAGCGCTTTTGGAAAAAATGATATAGCAGATACAGCAAAGCCTAACCAAATTCAGACCAAATCGTATTTGGAAGCAATAAAAACGCCAATAATGGTGTATATCGATAAGTAGCGCGATTAAAAGGAGATTCACCTTTCCGTATAAGTTCTGCTGCATCCGAGAATATTTTATAATCAATATCTGTATAACTGACCTGAAATTAATTCCTTTTAAAATCATTACCTATTAAATCCATTTTCATCTTTTTTATTGCAATTTTTTTAAAAAAAAGAAAAAAATGAATTAAGAATAGCAATAACATCAAAGAGATAATCATGAATAATTCCATAATAAATAAGAAGAAGGCGAAAAAGAAATGCAAATAATAAAATTCGTTGAAAGGTCCATAAATTGGAATTTTTTTCGCCAAACATTATTAATTAATCCGTGTTTGTTCGAGAATTTCTATTGATTACATCACACATTTTATTCCTAAAAAAAATTAATCGAATTAACGTTTTCCTACTTTTTTAGCAAATTTATCAATTTTCGTAAATTTACCAAAATATTTACTTATTTATTTATTTGAACAATGTGACGTTATCGCAACATAAGCTAAAATCAAACTTTCGGAAACATAACTGTTAATAAAAATATTTTTCAAATCCCACTTCGAAGCGACGACGCTGGAGTTCTTCTGCTTGCAAGATCAAAAGGTGTTTTGCAAAAATGCGGACAAAGCTAGCAACTCACCAGTAACTCTGTCGCAAAGAGAAGACTCCCTGGCAAAACTTGTCAGACACGACGACGAAGCTGAGCGAGCCTAATGCTAAATGGTGAACGCTCTTAGATAGAAAAATCAACCGAATATTTTGCGAAATCACTTTCATCAACCAAACCACTGCGAGTAATCGTAATTTTTTTCCACATTTCCCTTTTATCTTGCAACTTCGATCGAAATGGACTATTTCTGACAACAAAACACTTGGCTTGCAATATTCAATATTCAATATGCACAACGACAGAATTCGATATTCTCGAAAGATGCAGTTTTAAATTAAATTAAATAAGATGGATTTTATGATTTAGAGAACTTATCATATAAATTGTGCTGAATTGTATTCCATTAGGATTTACTTTACGATTTAATTCGGATGAATAGTATAGACTCCCCAGGGCTCAAAAATCCTTCCCTAGCCCCACTTCGTAAAACAACATCTACCAAAATCCACCCCCCCAAACCTCAAATAAACACTGAGAAAGATGGAAACAAAAAATTTAAGCGTAATATTGCTTCCCGTTCGTCTGATCGATCCCGAAATAAACTTCAATTCACTTCAGTTCGACCGAACTCAAAATTCGTTCCTTTTATATACATAAAGTCTCAAACAAATATTGAAATGGTTTTTTTTCTCTAGGACCGTTTTTAAGACCGTTCCTTGCGGATTAAACTCGCCCAGCTGGCTTATTGGACGAGGCAAATATTGCTAGGGAGTTGCTTGGCGACAGAAGTAAAAGTGAGCGAGCACCACCCGCATTTCTGAAGCATTTCAGATCCTCAACATCGGCGCTTCGAAATGCGAACGATTACCCGCTGAGCGATCCTGAACTCTTCCAGGTAAATTTAACAAAACAAATGCAAATTTTGAACCTGCTTTATCGATTTCGCTACCGAAAGAGTGCGGCAGTATTCCAGAGAAGATCATTCGATTTATAAAGACAAGCATTTTACCAGCGTTTCTTTCGAAATAAAATAAAGTTGCTCTCCGCTCAAAATTAAATTGTGCGATAGACTGGATTATGGACACTGCTTGCTGGCATTCAAGAAGTGTGCAAGTCAGTCCAGAGCTCTCTTAGATGGATGGAGTCAAAAGTGGGAGGACCTGGACTGGTGTGGTTAAGTAGGATCTTCAATATACACGCGGACCAGCGACATAGACGTTGGAAAAAGGAATGGCTTCTATCACCGTCATCGGCTCGAGTGGCTTCGAAACGTCTTTCTTTCATAGCTAACCGAGTGAGTAATGGTGAGGGCCGTTAGATGAGAAAAAAGAATATCTCTTCAATGAAATAAAAAATCTTTGTTTTTTTTTAATGAAGTGGCTTTCACAAAAATTTTATCGGGAATTCGGCTATCATTCGGCCACTGTGCAAGCAGATTCAATTCCATCGACATAAAATGCGAAATTTTTGCTAATAATTGAGAAATTATTTAATATTATTTAACAAAATGAATAGTTTTGCTAAAATAAATCAATAAAAGGTTTCATTTTATAAAAATTTTGCAAACAACATTCGTTTTCTTACACGAAGAAACAATATAAAAACAACGTTTTCGTTCATTACTTTTCAAATATTATCAAGAAATTATTATTATTGTCGTTCTGAATGCAAACTGTGGAACGTAGTCAGTAAACGAACCAATTTCATAATTTATTTGTAATAGTCGAGTGAGCCAAACGAGAAATGAAAAGTGCCGCAGGAAGGAGAAGGAAGATTCACAGGAGAGGAAATTTGATTGATTTGATTTAAATGAATAAAATTAATAAATAATTGCAATAAATTCATCAATTAATTCAGCTGAAAGAAAATATTAAATTAGCGAGAATTTGATATATAATTTCGTCAGATTTTTTTAAAACATTTCTCTAATAACGAGGAACATCCCTGCAAAAAGGAAAAAAGAAGGCATTAGTATAAACAAATGATGCTAAGAGAGGACAAGGTAATTTCAGAGTGCTTATTTTATTAGGAAGGATAATAAAATTTGAAAGCTGAAGGAAGATAAAGGAGTGTTAAGTGAGGATAATGAAGCTAAAGAATGTTGAAGGAAGTGATCTCCGAATGTTAGGAGAACATCTTGTTTATCAAATCTGCTTACGAGCGATTGACTTCTTGACTTCGATCAAAATTTTTTGATTTTTAATTTCAAATCCGTCGTTTTTAGTGGTGCAACCAGTCATAAGCAACCACTCAAAGGATGATAATGGAGTGTTAAAGGATGATAATGAAGGATGGCAAGTGAAAGAACGAAAACGAAATGTTAATGGAGAATAAAATACTTTCAAAGTACGAAGAGAAGATAAGATGTTTGCCACACATTTAACTTATTTTTTCTGCATACAGCATTATTACAATTTTTGCAAAATTCGAACGAATTTTTTGTCATTTTTTTAGTTTATTTGGTTAGTCTGCAAGTAGAGAATTCTTTTAAAATTTTCGAAAAAACAATTCATCATCATCATTTTTGATACTTTCGCTTTTGCTAACGATAAATACCTTCAATTTTTTTTATGATTTTGAAAATTTATTTTAATTTTATAATTGAAATGGCTGAATTTTCTTTAAGAATATTTTGCTCATATTTCTATAAAATTCTTTGGGCCAAGTTTCTAGGTGGTACATTTCAAATATCGTTTCGGTCTTTTAGATCACTGCTCAAATTCAGAAATGACTAGCTAATAACTTTATGCAACAGAAAACTATTTATATATAAATCGTGAATAATAATAAGGCGAAGATCCCATGGGACTTCATCCCGACAGACAAGGCAATTAACCAGATATCGCGATGGTGGACAAGAATCAGAAATTAGCATTGGTGATAGATAAAGGAATACCAAGTAACAGGAACGGAAGAGGAAATATGAGAAGTTAGCGAGATACCAAAGGCTGAAAAGGAAAAGAATTAGAGATGTGGAAAGTGAATGTGAAAGCCAGAGTACTCCCAGTGATAACTGGAACACTTGGAACTATGATCTCTTAACTAGAAAAGTGGCTTCAACAGATTCCAGGAGATTTCTGTTCAGAAGATTGAGCAGTTGGAAACAGCTAAGATGCTACAGAGAACGCTCAATCTCCTAGGCTTTTGATAGAGTACCTGAAGTTGAAGATGGTTCTCTTCACCCAGAAGGAGAAGAAATAGATATTTATACATTTATATACAATAAGCGCTGATTCCTCCAGAAAATCTTCGCAGCCATTCTAAATATGGGCAATTAAATTAAAAATTATAGTTGTAGTTTGGAGGAAATAAAATAGTTTGGGGGAAAAAAACATGAAAGAAATTTCGATGGACAAAAAAGCGTTGCATTCACAGCAACCGAAACACCTTTATAACGAAGGTTTTTCTAAAAATTAATCAGTTTTACTGTGATTTTCTCGATTTTGATAAATTCATTCTCTACAAATGGTCGGGCTTATGTGAAGCAAATTTGTCGTTAAAAATGAAACACGAGTGGTAGCGTGGATTTACTTGTTCACCTATTACCTCCAGGCGACTCCCCGACGAAAGCACCTCGTCTATACCAAAGCAGACGAGAGAATGGATTCCGTTATAGTTTCGTCGATTTACCTTGAATGCAATTTGATGTTCATTTTTGAATCGTTGTTTTTGATTTATAAATTTGTCGTTTACAAATAACCTAATTTATAGTTCAATTTTTAATGATAATTGGTAATGCCCGAATATATTTTTGGCCAAATTCGAAGTTTGGTTTTGCTATTGTCAATGCTCTTTTCGATATTCTTTTTTCTTCCTCGTCGCCATGTAAATAAGCCACGGCGCATTGCAACCAGACAAGCGATTTCACAACGATTCCACACTCCTTTTTGACTTTTGACTTTTCGTTGAATATTTGCCACAAGAGCGGGTCCAAAATGTTCGAAATCCAGCGCCTCCTCAATATATAAATTTACAAAAATAGATATTTCCTCGAAGCTTGGAATATAAAATGAAGAGAGTTATCGATGTGCGATTTTGTTGTAAAATCCAGCATAAAGGCCAGCAAAGAAGACTAACTACCTATCCAATCAATGTGCCCAAAATTCTGCAGAGCCAACACCAAACTTGCGTAAACTCGCAAAAGTCTCATAAAAAATTCTTTAGGCAAGTATTAAGCCATCCCACCGAGCATTTCCCCTGATGTCGCCGTCATATCAGTGGACTTTGAAAATGCTTTCCAGCAGTTTATGCATTATAAATGTTTGAACTTTTATGCAAGTGGTACATCATGTTAAGCAAAATATGTTAGAGTTATGGTTCTTGCTTGGAAGAAAATCAATTCCGTCAATGTTATATCGAGGAAAATTACATAAAACCACGGAGAACTTTTTGTCAGAGATGAGACATTTGTAATATTTTTTTCATAAATTTTTCATACCTTTCATAATTCTTTCGTTTCTTAATTTTAATTCATTCATTTAACTTTATTCGAGCACTTTATTCAGTTATTACAATTTTATATACTCGTAAGTTAAAACCACAAATGTAGGGTTCGCTTCTGTTGCAAAATTTCTCGCCAGCATTAAGGACTGCAACATCAACTTCTCCGACTTTCTGCGTTGCAAAAATATATAAATACAACACCAAGCAGAAAAGTATAAGATGGAATATTTAACGAATCAGCTTATAAAATTTAACCGACCAGAAATTGGTGATAAAAGTTTAAAATATCAGATCTATGTGGAATGTGAAAACTGCATCGAGTATCTTTTATTTATATCATTCATTTAAGTCATTCACTCAAGGTCAACTAAGCACTGTTTTGTGACTTTGCGTCGATTCTCTACTGACCTTTCGATTGATTGATCTTTTTCATTATTTAAGTACATAAGGACTTGATTCTGACATGAATGCAAATTTGTAGTCAAGTTGCTGGCAAAAATTTCTAAGCATATTAATAGTTAGAAGTTTCTCTGTGATTTTTCGTTTCAATAATGATTTTTATCTCTCTGGAATCCAAAATTTCTGAATTGGCTGACCATTTATGATGAAGTTTGTTTTTGTCAAGGAATAAGGAGTCGAATCCATAATGATTGCTCATACTTGGAACAACATGTTCTGACTACTCTAACAGATAATTCTAGCATTTAGAGAATATTTCATCTCCTTTCATTTTGCCAAAAAACTTGTAGTAAAAATAGCTATTCCAAAAATTATTTTTCATATAGCAGTTGATTTATCGTTTTATGAGCAGTCTGCTCTTTCGACTGCTCTGTTAAAGTATAAAAAATAATTATTATTGTTGGTTATTATAACTCTTCGTTTGGACAATGATAAGTTTTTTCAAGTTTATTTTTCTCTCAAATTGGATTTTTTAATTTCCGCTTTATCCTTGTCTTCGACAGGAGTAAGCCTATCATATCAAAAATCTGGCTTCTCAGGACCCACTTGTAACATCCCTATGTGACTCTATGGTGAAAAAGTCTGATCTTATCTCGGCGTGCTCGTTCTCCGATGTGGATAATACTTCCAGTCTGGTGGTACATACGATAAATATACAATCCGTCAGAATATATGGACGTTACAAACCAAGCGATCATTGTCTACACTATTTCTAAATATCGTATGGATATCGCCTGCTTGTCGGAAGTCCATCTTCCGTACTTCTCGAGTTTCGAGTAATTAGTAATCGTCGGAGCAGAGGTACTGGCTATATCACTGTGATGCTTCCGATAAATCGAGACGAAATGGCGTAAAGGCCATTCCACTTTGATTGAGTGCAAAGCGGTGAGGCCAAATTCCACTTTGATTGAGTGCAAAGCGATCAAAATTCGCATAAAATTGACAACTCGCAAGAAACGGCATCCCCAAAGATTTTTCAATTATCTAAAAATTCTGGGACAGTGAGCACATCACATTTAAAATTGAATTATTGAAGCACCTCAGTGCTATAAGTATAAAGAAAAAGGCAAATGAATATTGAATCAAACTAAAGGAATGCCTCCAAAAATCAGCCTCTTCCACGCTAAAATATACTAGTAAGAAGTGCGTTAGTTGGATACCGGAGGCAACTATCCAAACTGTCCAATTGCCCAAAAAACTGCTATGAGTTCCAAAAGCTCCTGTAACTCAAGAAGGGTCGATGAAATGATAGGAGATAGCAATGACATGCTTGTTAAGAATATTAAGAATCGTCTAATAAAAGTAACGAATTCTTTGAGACCAAATTTAACCATGATGTGCCATTTGGCCATTTGTTATCCCGGATATCCCGCACATATTTGATTCGAATCATACATTCGCAATACTACCAATAGAAGAAGAAATAATCTCCGTTATCCGTAAACTTAGGGCCAATAAGATTCTACGGAAGATGGTCTCTGGGCTAAACTCTTTAAATGTTGTCCATCGTCCTTCATAACGCAACTTCAACAAATGTACTCTCTAGTATGGGAAAAAGAAATATTACCAGATGATTGGAGCAAAGCAATTCCCAAGATGATCCAAATTCTCAAAAAAAATGATAGGACATATTGTGAAAAATATCGAGGAATCAGCCTAGTTATCTCAGCGAAAATTTTTGCTTCTCTTTTACTCAAGAGAATTATGGAAGTACGGGATAACAGGGTGCGCCCTAATCAAGTTTGATGCAAATCGGGGCGCAATTGTGCTAATCAGATTCACATTAAGAAGGGTGTTGGAACATCGCTTCAGATTTGCCCACTGTCACGTGTTTCAACGATTTAACGGCTGCTTTTGATTCAATTGATAGAGAGGCGCTTTGGAGGAACGAACGTGTTCCAAAGAAAATCATTCGACTCATAAAGGATTTTGATCAGCGTACGTCGGCGGAGGTTTGTATATATGGAGAATTGACAGAGTTCTTCAAAATAAGAAATGGTGTCGGTCAAGGCATCTTTTCGTCTATAATATTCAACTATACGATAAACTGGATAATGGACGCCGCTTGTCGGCATTGAAGGGGTATGCAAATCAGTCCAGAGCGTCATATCATAGATCTTGGATTATACGCTAATGATGTAGTTCTTTTTGCTGAAAGTTATTAAAAAATAACTTACATGCTAAACAATGCGTCGACAGTGTCTCAGAGAATCGAGATAATTTTAAATACCTTGGAACCGAATGGCCAAAGGCAAAAGATAAAATTGCAATGAAGTGCGTTCTTCCCGTTGACGAATTCTTTAAAGAGCTGTCGCATAATCACTATTCACTATAAATGAAAATCGGTGTCTATATAGCCACGATTTGCTATATCTTGCTATATGTCTGTGAGTCATGGCCAATGAGAGTGGAGAATATTAAGAAGTTGTCTTCTTTTGATCACCCATATCTGAGATCCCTGAGCAGATAAAATTTCACATGATTACGTCGGCCTTCGCCTAAATACAACCTGAAGTAACCTTTCACCTTCATTGTGTCTCCTTTGCTGGTGCAGCACGTTCTTCGTCGGTAATACAATAGTTGAAACATATTTCATTATTTGCTAAGCTGTGATGGATGGTGGCAAAAGCAAGATGGACCGAATCAATCTGGGTTGATACAGTCAGGAAAAATTTTGAATGACAATAGCTACATTTCTATCTATACAACTTTCCAATATTTTCTTCTAAGAATAACCTTATCTATCAACGAAATTTCGATGGTAAAAAAGGTGATTTATAAGATTTCACGCCAGAGCATCAAAATTTCTACCTAAAAACTATTTCCACCATTTTCTAAAAGAATAGATTACCTTAGAAGAAAATGTTGAAAAGTTGTATATATATTGGACCGGCGATATATGGACTTAGAAGATGGAAAGAGTGGGATGGTTTCTATTAGCATATGGTTCCTCGTAGGCAGTGGGTCCAGCCTAACCTGTAATGGTGAGGGCTATCAGAGGAAGAATTTCTCTCAAACTGAAATTGTATTCATAAAATTAACTGCAATTATTTTATTACCAACTATTATGATTGATTTAATTGGTTTTATATTTAATCATTATTATTATTCTTGAAAGAAGCTTTCATGTGAAATGATAATCGTTCATAAAAATTTTCAGGTATCAGCAAAATGTTGCTAAGGAGAAAATTCGTAATAAAAAGTGCTATTGTACGAAATGTTCTCGCGGAATTTTACGCAACAGCTGTGCTAAGAGTAATAATTGACACATTTTAATTTTTAAATTTTATCATTATCGTAGATAAGCATTTCGATTAGTTACCTCAACCAAACATGCAAAAAATGACTAGAAACCTTGGCCTAAAAATGTTTCCAGTTCATTCCTTTTGGCTTGCATAGTTTTTTATTTTAATCATTCCATATTCATGGTAATTCGATTAAATTAATGCATAGTTAATAGCTAATAATATGAAATTCCTTCTTATGCCATTTAATCTCGAAACGTTTTAGTTCATTGGAACTGGTGTTATGGCTCAATACGTATTAAGTCGTGGCACTTTTAATAGTCCAATACAGGTTCAGATTGGATGGGGTTTCGCTATTTTGTTTGGTGTGTATGCAGGCTGGAGTACATCAGGCACTTTTCCGCTTCTTTCGTTCATTTGTTCAAAAAAGGAAATTTTTTTGGGCAGATGTATTCAAAATGGAAAAAGTAGCAAATCTCAAGAGCAAAAGTTTTTAAGAAGTTTATGAAAATTTCGCGCCTTAATCCTATTCTAATAATATTGTAACAGTATGTGAAAAAGAAGGAAAAATTGTAAAAAATGGAAAAATGAACAGAAAAAATAAATATTGTAAAGGGAAAATATTTTGTACGCGAAGGAATTCACGATAATAAATTTATTTATCCATGACGACGTTTGAAAAAGTATTAGAAGAATATAACCGGATTTGAACGATTATTAAGGGATTTACAGTGGAATATTATGAAGTTTGAAATAGCAGTGAGGGAGGAATGGTCCGAACGCTACGATTACCGCCGCAACTTCTTTCGGAGCTAAACAATAACTAATGTTTGCAAATTATTTAAATGAGCCATTGTAATTATTTACTCCGATTTTTAAGAAAAGAAAGTTTAAGGTGGACATGTCAATCCAGCGGTAACAGCAGTTTTCTGGTTACTTAATAAAATTTCCTTATTGCAATCTGTTCTTTACGTGATAGCTCAAATACTTGGTGCAGCATGCGGAACAGCTTTATCATTTGTCGTCTACTATGGTAATATATAAGTTCAGTCAAATTTTCAAATTATTTAAATATTTTGGAGTAGAATTGCTCAGTAGGTTGCTATCTGATCCGTCTATACACCGGTTCTCACTTCAAGCAGGAGGAATTTGGCCAGGAACAAACTTTTCTTTCAAAAATCCGATGATGTTAACGATTGAACAGTACTTCTTTCTCCAGGCCCTAACGAAATTCTTTTGGTCCTACAAGCCAGCAGAGCCTCTTAGAAAAAAAAAAACTGTTTGATAAAATTTTCATAAAATGTAAGTTTCCTTTGAGAGAATTGTTTAATTTATCACTGTTGTGTGATAAAAATTTTAAATTTATGATGACCTTAATCAAATTATTTATTGTTTCAGAAGCGATAAATGATTTCGATGGTGGAAGTCGCAAATTGGTTGGTGTTAATGGAACAGGCATTATATTCGCTTCGTTTCCTGCTCCATATCTCTCCAATGTCGGCGGGTTTATTGACTTAGTTGGTTTATTCGTTTGTGGTTTAAAATCTTGCATAAATTTTATCTTAAAGAAAGTTTGGAAATTAAAATATTAAGAATATTTAGAATATTTATTTAGAGATTTCATATTTAAGATGGCTGGTACTGGTATTCTTGGACTTTTCGTCGCATACTATGGAGACTCACGGAACCAAGTTCCATTATATCTATTGCCTCCATTATTTTTTGCTTTATGTGTGGCAATTGGAGTTAGTTATGGGATGAATGCAGGTTCTGCTATTAATCCAGCTTCTGATTTTGGAGCTCGCTTGTTTGCTTTTTTTGCAGGATATGGCACAGAGATATTCACGTTAGTTTCATGCGAAATATTTAATCTTTTTAGAATACTTTGTGGAAAATGCCAACCTCTAGATGTTTCTTTCTGGTTAATTTCATTTCGACCACTAAAGCGGAACACCAATGGTTTTTCCACATTTCGTCCCGTAGGGATTGGAAAAAATGTTTAAAATAATCTGGTTCCAAAAGCATCGTCTATTCTTCCTGGTCGATATTTTCAGACACAATAATTTTTACTTTCTTGTTCCGTTAATAGCTCCAATCTTTGGTGCTTTGATTGCTGCAGAATCTTACAATATTTTTATTGGTCGTCATATGCCAGGAAATTGTGGTGAACCTGTTTCATGCAGTTAATGCCAACATGCAAAATAAAGTCTTTCCTTAATTCATGTTGTTATTTTTATCGGTTTTTATCGTTATTGTAGTTTTTTAAAACATGATCTAGAATAAAAATTCATAAAAAACCTTGGAACTTCTATCATTTGTTGTTTTTTAAATAAGTAATTTAGTGCATATAATGAAGTTTTAATGTTTGCAACTTTGTTTTGATGGTACAAAATTACTGTTGGAATGAATTAATGAATTAAAAAAAAATTTATGCTTATTTAATGAACCTACGAAACAATGTCGTATATTGCTTCCATCAAAAGCGGGTATTATGGATTCGACTCTCGAATTTTTAAGAAGAATAAAGAAGCAAAATAAAAATAAAACTTAAGGGGGTATTAAAGACCATACGCCTCTTGCTGACTTTATCTCATCGTAGTCAATAAAGCGGCCAAACTAAAATTACAACGGAAATTATGGAATTTGTTTATTTGTTTGTTTACTAGCGTGGAGATATTTGCGACGATAAAAGGCAAAAAGGTGCAATTTATTTCTTTTCAATGCCATAATCAAAATCAAACGATGACAAAATGTTGACTGTATCTCTATCGTTAATGGCAATATTAAATCGAGAGAATGGTTTAAATAATTGGCCAGTTAATGGTTTGAACGAAGGAGCGACATTCTGTTAGGGATCGCCGATTAAAGCCAATATTTATGAGCCTTGACCTTTTTATCATAACCTTTTTATTGGTTTGTCAGTTGACCTATGCTTATATATTATCAATATGTCGCTGAGCTTTTTCTGAAAACTAATTTTTGCCAATAACTAATTCTTTCTCTTAAAATAGCGTCTTCTACTTTATTATGGGATATCTACTGCTGAACTGGACTCTTCAACATATTTACATTTTAAGATTGGTCGCTACTTCTACTTCGATTCGTTCATAGACTTTCGAAATGAGAAATGAGATTTATTGCTAAATTTTCGGTGTACCCATGGAACCAGTGGGATAAGTTTTGAAATTTTGAAGTAAAAGTCTAGTGCCAGTGAATGTGCCAATTTGGTATTCTTCTTTTTCTCGGCTCATATTTAAGCTGCTTCTGTATAATTAGAGCTAATTTTTAAAATTTCATGAAAAAATCGCAAATTTGGTTTTTGATTTATTAAATTAAATAAAATCGATAAATATTTAATTGCAACATTAAACTTAGGAGAAATTTTTAAATTAGTGATCATATTTTCTCGTTTTTTTTGCTGTTTTAAGGTGAAATTTAATAAATCCATGAATCCATGAAATATCCATGAAATAATCGAAGACTCAATTCACTGGTCGAATTATTAGATTTTACGTTTTTATTATTTTCAATTCGATGCTAATAATACCAGCATAATGCAACTTTCTTCTCTCTCTTATAAGAAGTAGCAATCACCATGAAGTGATAGGAACCGAAAGCACTCACCATGGGGTGACAGGAACCAGAAAGAAAATAAAGTTCGAGTGATGTTGGCGAGCGCTTGGTTTCAGTAAATAAAATTATGGAATTGTATTTTATTTGTGCCCTAATGAATTAATGTTTATTTCATTTGATATCAATTGTTTCTAGGTACTATGATATTTTTGACTGATCTATATGATTTTGATTCGTTTTTGAATTAACCATATTAAAGAAACAACTGTTATAACAAACGCCATCTTGCCATATATCGTTGCTTAAACTTTCCATTCAGTCCAGTTCTTCCAGGTTTATTTGTCGCATCCTAGAAAATTTAACATTTCTGATTTGCTCAGAACATACTGGAGAAACCTTCTGTTGTATTACACAAGTAGTAGCAGAAAAATTCGAGGTTAGTCGCTTATTTGAATTATCTTTATAATTCGTCACGTGGTATTTGTTTGATTATTTTCCCGACTATGTTAAATAACCTCACCAAATCCATTGTTCCCTTCTGTGCAGAAAGTCTGTTTAACTGATCAGCAATATAAAACCTTTTAGATCCCGCGTAATTTTTCAAGTTTTTCAAATCCAGCCTATACTCTTTCTCCAGAGCTGCCATACCTTAACATCCCCAATGTGCCCAGTCCGTCGACATATTTCCAAAAACATTCTTATGTGGTCTTAGTATCTCAGAAAGTCATTTGATTGATATATTGTCCTCCGTTAACTGATAAGTTCAAAGAATAAGTTATAGCCAAACATCTCCTCAAAGTTTTTCTTCCTATCAAATCGCAACACAGATGGAAATATTCCCTCACAACATAATCAGCCTCTGATAAGCCCTTAAATATTAGCAATATATTGTTTTACCTAAACGCTCTTCTCTTGCCAGTCCGTTATATTCTCATCGACAACTTGGTCTATCTTGTTGATTTCTTAAAATTTTCTTTAAGAATAGTCATGTTTGTCATGCAAAACTCATTTAAAAACTAGCAAACACCTCCATCTCTTTTATATTTTTATAATTTATTAATGGTAATTTTTTCTACAGCCAATTCCTATCCTTTCAACTATATTAGACCCATTCGTATCTCATTTCTGGAGTTTCCTCTTTTGTGACATTTTCCTTAGTGCCATATCAAATATCTCTTTATTACATTTGTCACGCTCACAATTACAAGTTAGAAAATTTCGAAATGCCATATCACGGTGAATGGTGGAGATATAGGAAAAGAATAGGCAGATGGGGATTTGGAAAGTGTAAGAAAGACGTAGCATGGTTCAAAGAGTTATTGAGAAAATACGACGGGTTTCGAGGATAAATTAGAAGGTATGTGCGATTTTGCGAAAATTGTTGTCTAATGTGCAAGAAATTGGAAAATAAACCAATAACGCTACAATTTTCATTCCAAATTAATATTTCCAATATGCTTTCGTAATATAGTTTTTTTGTATAAATATAATAAATATATGATTGTTACGAAATCTCTTCGAATTTTTAGTTGGAATCCATGGCGGTGAACAAAGAAGGCAAATCAAATCCTTTTGAAAAGATTTTGTCGACCTTTGAAAATGTAAAGGTATTTTGATTTGATGAATTTGTTGAAAGAAACTCTCCTTTTTTTCGTTTTTTATTCTGTAAGTCGAAAATTTTTGTGGAAATGTGGATGTACTAGATTTTATGAATTTATAAATTTAACATTTGAACTATGTGGATTTAATAAATTCAAAATTTATATGGAAAAGGCTTCGATATGTTCGTTACTAGTTTATTCCTACTTTTTATGTTACTTTGCTTTGCATTGGATTTATAAATTTGGCTAATTTTAAGAAAATAAGGAAATTAAGGAAGTTTATCTTTCCTTCTAATTAATTTGTTTTTCTTCCTTCGATATAATTTTAAATTAGTATTAGAAACTGTGGTGGGTATTGTTTAATTTTCATTCAATTTATTCTTTCCGAATAAATTGAATGAGCAGCTAATTCCCCTAAATGCCGCAAGTCAAGTAAATTTTATTTTTCGGTCGTTTAAAAACGGAAGCTTTTTTATCAAAGTATAAACGGCGTTCATTCGGCCTCTTATTGAATATAATGTAACCTGTTTTCCCCTAGATGCCTTAAATCAAGTAAATTAATTAAAGAACTCTAGAAATACTGCTTTGTACATCGCTCCTCTCCTAATAGCGATCCAATTATAAAGCACAGCTTCATCTGTACAACCTAGAATCGCTCTCAGTTCATCGAATTAAACAAAATTGAAAACAAGATTTAATTTTTGCATATGGTTATATCGAATTAAATCGTTCATAATGGGCCAAAATTATCAAAACCTAAATGTGAAACTAAATTAAAAAGGCATTACCTCTTTATTCGCATTACCATTAATTAATTAATTTGATCATCATACCTGGCAATTTTTTCAAAAAAAAATTTGGCTTCATAATAAGCGGGTAGTTTGAAACTTTGATAATCAGCATGCGACTGTATGTGTCAGTTCAACTCGTGTTATTCCCCTTTATTTCTCTTTGCACTGTTAATTTTTGGCCACATTTCCTTTGTATTTTATATCGCAAACACTAATTTCTTTCATTTGGCATCTTATTTTATTATTATTAATGCAAGCAGATGGCGCTTGTCGCCTTGTTTGGTTGCTTCAAATAAATAAAAGTGATTGAGGTGAAACAGAAATTTTCAATTGATTCTCTTAATAATTTAATTTCCTTAAAAGATATATAAAAAATAATATAAAAATAATATAAAAAATAATTTAAATTGCAAAAAGAAAATTGTTCAGAAAAAAGAAAATTGGAGGAAACTTAAAAGAGAAAAGGAAAAGAAAGCGGACGATATCAGCTTTTTATTTGAAGAGAACAGCAGAAAAAAGGTATACAAACTGAATTTTTATTCCATTAATTTATGCCATTTTATGTGCAATTGAGAAAGTACCCTTTCATTTAGATTTTTATTTTCTTTCGAGCGGTCTTATTTATTATTATGAAAGGAAGTACAAATTAGGTACAACAAGCTTAAATTGGTTGTCCTAGCGAATGACATTTTTAATTTGGGGCGTCGCTTCATCGGTGATTCGCGTTTTTAGTTAAATAACTCTTCCTTATTTTTCTCCAGTTCATCCATGTAAAACGATACCCTTTACTTCAAATTTGTGCCAATTTATGATTTATAACTTTTCTTCGATCGTTTAGAATAAAATCAAACAATCTAAGTTAATCAAAGAATTGGAACTCAGAAATAAGCATTTGGCAATAGAGAACGAATTTCTTTCTGCAAGTTTGGCTGAAGAAAATTGGAAGAAACTAAAAGAGAAAGAAGTGAATGATCTGAAGGTTTCGCTTGAAGCGGCGAACACTAAAAATGCAACTTTAATGAGCGAGGTATTCAAAATATAGTTGAATATTTCTTCTTACTTATTATTGCATGAAAAAAGTTATAACTTTAGTCTCATTCATTCTTCCAAAAAATATTTATTATAAAAGGAATTACACGTTTAGTTTTTAAGCGTCTAATAGCTCTTTTAGAAAATAGTCTAATTTATCTATTTGAAAAATCATAGGTCTTTCGATTTTAATTCGCATTATTAGTTAATTGCTTCATTTTCATTCTTTCTGCAATTTAACATTTTGATTAATATTTTTTTGGTTAATATTTTCTGGTTAATATTTTTTTGTTTCAAATTTCTTATAACTTTTTCTTCAATCGTTTAGAATGATGAACTGATGAAGAAAATCGCGCAGTTGGAATTAAAAAATGAGCAGCAGTTGAAATTTCCGCTTGAATGTGGTACTTTCATTACGGTAGGCGGTATTCCTTTTTGAAACCATAGGGAGATTGGCCTAGTAGAAGCAGGTAATGCCAGTAAAATTTGAAGTAGGGCGCACGTTTAGAATTAAAGATTTTAGTAAGTAAAATCCACATGAAATAAAAAAAAGGAGGAATAAAACAGGTGAATAAAATTAAAGAATGAAATGGAAAACTTAAAAGTCAATGGGTCATATTGAAAACGAAAAGATTTAAAAATTTGTAGTATTTAAATTCCTAATAATATATTTTGATTTCTTCAAATAGATTGGCAGAAAATATTCACATTCTTTGATTTATGAGCATTATGCAATTTATTTCAGTGTTATCCGAGTGTTCCAAGAGTTACCGGTCAAGACAGTGATATAGTATGTAACGAGGAAATAGGACAAATAAATGCAGAAAGCCCTACGCTAAAAGCGATGAACGCAAAATATAGCACGCTTGAAGCAAAATTTAGCGCTGCAAAGGAAAAATGGCAAGAAGAATTGGCTGTCAGCGAAAATGAACTTGATAAAATTAGACAGGAACGTGAAGTACTGGTGAAAACTGTTCGCACACTTGAAGAAAAGCTTGCCAAATCAGAAAAAAGAGTTAGTGAATTGAAACAGTTGGATGAAGAAGAGGAAGATTGGACAAAAATATCACTGGGAGAAAATATTTGATGAAATCTTTTCGAATATAATTTCTTGTCGTTTATTATTTTTATTAACTGAATTATACTATTTTCCGTTCTAAAATTCGGTTTCCGTTATATTTTTCTTGAATTCTGAAAAAAAAATTTACAAAAGATGGGTTGACTTGCATGCAATAAAAAATCCTTTTCAGCTTAAACGATAAATTAATTTTGTTTAATATCCCATTTCAATAATATTTATTTGAAATACTGCCAAATCACAATAAAATTATAAAAAATATTGTAAAAATCAAATCATTTGGGTAAATAAGCAAATAAGCGTCAGTGGCAAATAATGAAAGAAATATATTGTGGAGGTAGATTATTAGGTTATTTTTTTCACATTCCTATTTATGGAACTAACACGAAAGGAAAAAACTACTTCGAAAATTGCTTTAAAATCTCGCAGAATTTTTCACTTTTACCTCTTTTATTATTAGGATTAGAGTGAAACGGCTTTGCCACAGAGTCATCTGGTGCGGAGGTATAAGAAGACCTTCAGCACCAGCAGAATTTTATGATGACAGGTTCACTCTCATCAAAGAACGAGTTATATTTAAAATGCCAATCCATGCAGTCAATGCTCGCTACGCTCTTTTCATGTCTTTGATTTCTTAAAATGGATTTTAATTAACAGAATGGATTGCAAGGTTTGAGCCTTAAGATGACATTTCTAACTAATTGGCAAAATAATATCTCACTAATTGCCATGCAATAATTAATTAATACTAATAAACAGGCGAATATGGGAATCCTATTAGATATATCCATCCATATACCCATCGATTACAAATGGTTAAATAGGCTTAGGTATTGCAAAAGGCTTAACAGATATAAAATATAATGTAAAAGTTGTGGAGAAATAGAAATTTTTTTCGCCATTTTTAAATTCGTTAAATATGATTAATGTTACTCGAGAATTTGCGATTATATTTGTAATAAAAGGATTGTAATTTTATAATTAAAGTATTCTCTCTGTCGCAAAATGCGATCTTTCTACTATTTTAAATTTAATATTTTAAAATATTTTAAAATAGTGACCCCGATCCGCCAAATGAAGTCTTTCATTAATTCATTAATTCCTATCTTCATATAGGTCAATTCATAAGTATATAAAGGATATCCTTTTCAAAAAAACTTCTTTCGAGGGGTTGGGTCCCAGTATTTCAATATTCAATTTACTTTGTTATTTTACATGTTTTATATTGTTTAATCATTCCTTTCCTTATTTGTTTTTCGATAGTCATCCTTTTAATATTTAATCCTTTTAGTCTCCGGGCTTAATTTGTATTATTTTTCGTTATTATTATTGTAATATTATTTTATGAATATTATATAGTTATATATTTATATTAGCTATATATTAATTGGTCTAATTACCCAAGTTTGAGGTGACGGAATAAAGATTTTTATCAATTCGTGCGTTGAACAATTTTTATCCTACTGTACTGAGAAAGCAGTCGAATCAAGATTATTCTAATATAACTAACACGTGGCAGGCGAGCATCATCCCACTGCTTCCAATCAATAATTTTATTAATTTATTTTTTACATGGTCCGTCTCTCCAGAACCACAGTGGCTATTGGTATTTTGCATTCGAGAACCATCAAAAAGGGCAGTCTTTAATTTTTTTAAAATGAAATTAAAAATTATTTGGGAAATCAATAATCCAAATCAATTTTATCACCGCCATCTGATTTTCAGTTTCGAAATATTTCAAGTCGTTACTCCTAAAGGCAGATTCAATCCCAATCAAGGACGAATCCAGCACTTTTTTCTGACTTCAAATATTATTCGACTTGACTTCAAATATTATTTCCGTTTAACTTGTTAATTTAATCTAACTTATAAGTCAAATCTTTATACTTAATTTATTTAAATCATAATTTTTATTCGTTACGTTAATTGTGGTCCACATATTTTAAAATTTTATTTTTTTTCCATAAACATGACTTCTGTAATAAAAAAGGTCACGGACCATTGTAAAAGGATTAGAATAAATTAATAATCTAAGTATTAGAGATCTCTCTGAGGATGAATCCTAACCCAGGATTTTTCTATTTATCAAAAATTTGCAACCTTGGAGGCCAAAAAGCTAAACTCCTCACTCTGGTCAAAGCGCTTCAGAGTAGTATTGACCAAGGAGAAGAGTTAGCCTCCTATATGCTGGTCTCTAACGAATCGGATCCCAAAGATTACATAAACTGGATAAAAGAAAAACAAAACTACTCGCAATTAATTTAGAAGCAAAAATCACAAGTATTGATTCAGACACATCAATAAAACATTTAAAGTTTAAAATTGAAGAACTCTTTCCTCCCTCTCAATCTCTCCTCACTCGTTGCCAGCAAAATATTTAAGAAGTGCAATTCCCCAAGTTGTAATTATGTCGTTTTAATGGAGCTATTCAAAACTGGTCCTCATTCAAAAACAGTTTTTTGTCCTCAATCGATTCAAGCAATTTACAACAAGTCGACAAGTATTCTAAATTGATGTGCCTAGATGAAGAGGCAAAACAACTGGTTGAAGGCTTCCCAATTGATAACCAATCTTATAAGGAAATTTGGAAAATTTTTAAAGACCGATACGGCAAATAAATAATTAATTCACAAATAATTTTCGCAACATTCTATCATTAGAGCAGAATCTTCCACGAATCAGGACATCCGATTGCTTAGAGCAAACATTTAAAGAATTTTTAGACATATGGCGAAACTTGGCGAAGATGTTAATAATATTTCCATCTTATTAAAGATAGAGTACCACCAAGAGTGGCAAGAAGAGTCGGAAAAATAAAATCCTCAGTGGAATTTCCAAAATCTTCGTCAAATCCTGGAATTATGTGAAAAAAAATTGAGTTTCAGCGGATATCCTCACGACCATAACCAAAAAACACCTATCCTAATTTCAAGGCTCTCAATAATAGTGACCGTAGCAGCCCACAGATTACTAGAAAAAATTTTCGCCCAAACATTTCTTCACATTCAAAACCGCTGCTAAATCAACTTCTTCAATTTTCTGCTCTTTTCTAGAAATCTATTATCAAAAAATGTATTTTCTATAAGAAGAATCACTGGAAAATTAATTGTTTAAGTTCCAGTGGAAATATTAATATTCCTCAGTCCAACATACAATCAAATAGAACATATGAAATATCTAATAATTTCAAGAGTAATATTTCAATTATTATGCTAGTAGCATTCCCCCTTCTGTTTTTTGTCCTTCAAGGCCGGCAAGGTTGGGCTTCTAAAAATTTTGCTTTCTTAACCCAACACCCGAAAAATAAAATTCCGAAAGTTCGAAAATTTAGAATCCAATAATCGAAATTCTAATAGTTCAGAGGCTTAAAAGATTTGGTCTTTAAATTTAATATTTCAAAATAGTGACCTCGACCAGCCAAATGAAGTCTTCCATTGATTCATTAATTCCTTATCTTCAATAAAGAATAGAGGTCAATTCATAAATATATAAAGGATATCCTTTCCAAGAAAATTTCTTTTGGTGCCATCAAGGGAGTGGTTGGGTCCCAATATTTCAATATTCAGTTTAGTCAATATTCAATTTAAGCAGCAATTTTTCTTATTAAAATTTTCTTTTGCTGATATCGAAGCCAAAAATTAGTGTTGCAATAAATATATGATACATGTATAAAGCAAAACTTTCCATAGGTTCGTACCATTAACAGATTGCTAAAATTGAGAAGTCCTATCAGTGGTTGGGAAAAAATTGACTAAAAGCCAACACTAAGGCATTATTGATCGTTGCAGCAGAAGAGAAGGCATTAAGCACTAGATCTAGGAGTGTACCATACTGGATTCTAGGATTCTAGGTGCAGATTGCGCAAAAACACCCTAGAAAAGAGTCCAACACATAGTGGAAGGTTGTAAAATGCAAATAGAAACAATATTCACAGGTCTGGTAGGGGACCACAAGTTGAGGATGATCTTTACCACCCATACGAAATGAGATTTTGATTTTTTAAATATGTCCAGAAGTTTATATAAACAACGCACCATTTAAATTGTGACCAAATTTACTTCAGATTCATTAAGAATGAACGTTCATCGAATGCAACTGCTCTACGGAACTCAAATGATTGAATTTAAGATCTTTTATCTTTTAATTCTTTATTCCTTAAATTCTTCACCTTTAAATTATTTTGTCTTTAAATTCAAAATTTCCATCAATAATTTCCATTAGATAAATTTATTGCAAGTTGCCGGAAATTTTTTTCGTTGCGACTTGTGTTGGCTGTTCAATCTATTAATTAATCAAATCAAGCGTAATTAATGTTAATTTTGATAAAGATAAATGCAAAGAAAAAAAGCAATCGAGCTTAATCAAACTTAGTTTGTATAATTAGGGTTTGAAGGAGTAAGTTGTAATTCAATTTTGTTTGGATTTATTAATTTAGAATGCTCTAAATATCGTAATATGACTATGACTTGTGCCAAGTCACAGAGGAATGCGCAAATCGATATTATGCAGCAAAACCATGCTTTTTATATTAATTACCGAGTACCAATTGGAGAAATAAGTTAGCGAGTGAAGAATATAGTTTTTCCATCATGTGCCTGGTCAGTTTTGGAATGAAAATAAATAAATGGGTTATTTATTCAAAATCATTAGGCGACCAAAGAACAAAGAAATTTGTTGCGCTTTTCAGCGACATTTCAACAATGGATGTGCAAGGATATTAGAAAACTTCATCCAGCTCACAATATATTTTCTAATGCCAATGATATAATTGAATCAATTGATGCATATTTTACCAGAATGCTACCGCAAAATGCTGTCATCTTTCCTTGATAACCATGTGCATAAATCCTCATAAAGTAAGCCGTAAGATCAACGATTCTACCACTACGACATTAAAAAAACTTATTATTAGGAAAATATGTAGCGATACAGACCAGGTCATGGTAGGGCTTTTCTCTTCGTCTTTTTTTGACTTTTTTATTCGACTACCGAATGAATTTGCTCGGTTT